TCTTATGGTGCTCCTTTGGGTAGATGCGGAACAGTATGGGGTGGCTTCTAGCCTTGGTTTATCAGATGATGCAAAATACCCTGCTTTTGTGATTGCTCGAGGTGAGGACCACTTTGTTCATCCATCTACGGAACCGGTAACTGCAGAGAGCATTGAAAAATTTATTATCGAATACTCCGAAAAGAAATTATCTCCAGAAATTAAATCTCAGCCCGTCCCTGAAATTGAAACCGTTGAGGGGCTGACCACAGTTGTAGGGAAGACATTGGACAAGTACCTTTCATCTGGAAAAGACATGTTGATCGAGTTTTTTGCTCCGTGGTGTGGGCACTGCAAGAATTTGGCTCCAATTTACGCGAAGGTGGCGAAGGAATTTGAGTCCTCGGACGTTATTATTGCCGCCATGGATGCTACTGCTAACCAGGTGGACAACTCTCTCTTTGACGTTTCTGGTTTTCCGACCATATACTTTGTTCCCCATGGAGGAAAGCCAATTGTGTATGATGGGGGCCGTACGTTCTATGAAATTTACAAGTTTGTTCATGAGCACAGCTCAACTTTAAAAGATGTGCCGATCCCAGAAGAAGTCAAGAGGGAAGAGGAAAAAAATGGGGATTACGATGATCTATAGAGGAAATGCATCTTATTCGATGTGTGCGTTTGTGCATATATATATTTGTGTGTGTGTGTGTATTTAATATTTGTGCGCTTCAAACCTTGCGGATTGGGTTTTGAATGACGATCCCTCACTATGTGGAGGGATTCTTCTATATATATATACACACGCGCAAGTGCACAGAATATATATATATATATATATATATATATATATGAAAAAGTAATTGTAGCTATTAGGGCGAATGAAGAAGGGATTGCTTTATTTTATTTTTTGTTTGTACTCGCCAAGCATTTCCCGTTTTAAAATCTATTTAATGGGTTTTTTTCTGGCGATGAAAGACGAAGGTGCTTTGGGTTTCTCAAGGAGAAACAGGGTGATTAGCTAGCTTGTTAAGGTCTTATGGGCTGCGCTGGCTCTTTTTCTTTCCTTCTTTTTTTTCTTTTTGCTTGTGTGCGCGAAAGTGCCTGTGCTCGAAGGTGAATGAGCGACATGGAAGCTCACCGCCTTTGCGCAGATTACAGCGGAACGAGCGCGTGGCACGATTTGCCTGAGGAGTCCTACGAAAGGGTCGTGGCCCTTGCCAGAGCGTATCGTCAGAGATTGACGGAGACGGACCAAAACAGTGGTACCGCCCTCGCTCTTGACAGGGAAGAATACGTCGACTCACTTCCGAAGGAGGAGATGATGCGGCGCCGCAGAATTGAGAAAAAGGAACAGGACGCAATGAGCATAGTGATGAAACTATGGACACAACGCTCCATCGCGTTTGCCAATGAGTTACGCACGATCAGGGAGGAAAAACTGAGGATGGAAAAAGTGAAAAAACAGAGAATCCTTCTTGAGGAACAACTGTATCGGGAGCAATTCCTGGATTTTTGGCAGAAAAGGAAGAAGGAACAGCTGCGCAACCTCCCTGTTCACCCCGATAGGGTCCTTATGAATGCATATAGGCATAATATACTTCCCTTTGCCACAGATCCAGTTGACTGCTGGGAAAGAGGCATTGTTGTTCCCCCCGAGCTTCAGCAGACGGTGGTGCTTTTGGATAGTGAGGGGAGCGTTTTCTTGCCTGCGTTTCATGAGTTATCCATGAAGCTTCGAACGGCTTATCACCGGTATCGAGCTCAATAAAAGAACGCGTCTTTTTGCGAAGGAAAATACGGCACATAAGCCATGAGGCCTTTCTGTTCATTCCTTCAGTGTAAAACAAAAATTTCTCCTTCGGGATGGGTGGCGAGACATTTTTGTTTTTCCCTTTGCGACAAACTTTTGAAGTGAAAGGGAAAGAAATGCTATGAAGTTCTCTTGAGATATTGTGACAAGTTGTGAGTACAACAAGAGTGACGAAAAAAAAAAAGGGTGCTTATTTATTTGAATGAACGAAAAATCCTTAGGGTGAGGGGCGGGGAGAAGGTAAAAACACTGCTTCTGCTAAAGACACTGATGTTTTCTGTTGCTATTCGCAGTCGTTTTTTTTTTTTTTTTTTTTAGTATGTGTATTTTTTTTTTGCTCATTTAGAAGTTTGAATGTCGCCACATCCGGTAGCGCCGCTCTGTCGTTGGTCCTATTTTGCAACACACTGTTGCGTCGGTGTTGTGCACTTGCCCTGCAGGGGATCAATTCTCGGGGAGCCCTTGTGGAGCTGCCGCCTACTCTTGACGGAATGTGGCTTTTCCGCCCTTCCTCCGCCACAGCAGAAAGCGGTGTGTAGTCAAGAAACGCTCACATTAAAGTGTAGAGGCGTCCCTTTTGTTGAGTTTAGTACCTCTGAACTGAAAGAGGGTGCGCTTGTGCATGTTGTAGCAAAAATGTACAAGAAGCCAAGGTTTATCCCTATTCATGGCACATACGTGGAGGACACGGAGCTGCTTGTCTCTGAACAGTTTGGATCACTTGTTCTTCTTGGGACACTGTGACGGGAGATGAACCAATTATGAAGACCATCATGAAGGTGATTTGTGCCAGTGTTTTTTATTACGTTTTTAATATATATATATTTTTTTTGACGAGTTCTGTTTTTTTTTTTTTTTTTTTTTTTTTTGTGATTTTAGAAAAGATGCGTCGGTTGTTGCTCGCTGGGGCGCTGGCGAAGTTCTCCCGCAGAGTGGGCGCAAGATGGCTAGCGTGTGCTCCAAAGGCACGTTACGCCGTCAACCGTCTCAACGATGGCAGCTACTTTTTTTTACCAGCGCTAAATTGCCAGGAGCGATTTCAATCTTCCTCGGACAAAAAGTTCCACTGTAGCGTTTGCAAAAAAGCCTTTCGCCTGGAGATGGCGGCGAAGTTACACCTCCAACAGGCACACGGGGGTGATGGCTCGGTGGAGGCCGGCCCAGGTCCCGGCGCTGAAACCGCCCCCACGGCTATTCCCTCAGCGCCGCCTTCGAGCCCTATTGAGAGGAATTTTACGGATGAAGAGGAACGCCGTCCTCGTCGTATGAGGCCCACACCAAAGCCGCTTCATCAACCCGACCGCGGGGTGCCAGATGCTGACATGGCAGAGCTTCTCGGTGTGTGGGACAAAATTGGTCTTAACAGGCTGGAAGGGAGTTTTGTTCACAGCACAATGGTGATGAAGGTGTTTGCTGCACGCCCTGATGTTACAGAGCAGCCTCTCTATGAGCCTGTCACTCCTGAAGGGGATAACCCCTTCGAGAAAATGGATCAAATTGATGCAAGGGCGGCGCCAGAGTCCTACGTCAAAGACCACGCGTTGACAGAGGTAGACCTGAAGGGTCCATTTGCCCCTGCACCTGATCAAACATTAAATCCTTTTCGTGCAGGGAAGGTGGACAATCCGTTCGCAAAAGTCCCAACAGTGCATCGCGAGGTGCCGAGGATTCTCCAGCCGCAACAACAGGTGCCAAAGGAAGAGCCTGTGACGGCGCCAATTACACCATTTGGACAATTGCCAATGTTTGGCAAACAGCAGCAAACAAAGGAGACCATTCCAGCAAAGCCATTACAGCAGAACATCTCTGTTCCTGGAGAAGTTGCCTCCCCCTTCACAGCGGCGGTGGCTAATTCACCATTTATTGGTCAGGTGGCGTCACCCTTTACTTCTACACCTGACGCCGCCGCTACGCCTTTTGAAGCACCACCGTTTACAGTAGCATCACCCTTTGCTGCACCTGGAATGCAGGCAAGTTCGCCATTTACTGCAACCGATGCGCTTAGTCCCTTTGCTCAAAATGCCTCATGCCAGACCAGCGCATTTCCTATGGCCATGGGTTTTTCAAATTTGACGCCAAATGTACAAACTGGGCAGAGGGCTCATGTTGAGGAAAAATGTCCTACTTGCGGGAAAAGTTTTTCCACCTTCGATGGACTTGCCATGCACAGCAAAGCCAAACATGGCGTTCTTCTTGAGCGGGAAGCGAAGAAGGATGGCAAGCAAAGGGGACGCAGTGTCCCTGATTTACCCGCCTATATACCAAGTCCTGTTGATCTTTCATCGTCATCACCGTTTGGAACAAAGACCGCCGTTGCTGCATCATGGGTAGAAACTGAGCTTATACCCCATGCTCAATGTGTGAGCAACATTACAATTGTTGGTCGTGTGCTGGATGTCACACAGGCGATGGAAGGTGTATCCCATGTCACTGTGTTTGTTCAAGGCGAAGAGGTTGGGGAGGAAGAAACTGTAACTGTTCACTGTTCTGGCGACATTAACATTCAGGTTCGGGATAGCGTGAAGCGTAATGTTACAATATTTTTGACTGGAACACTGCGACTTCATCCCGTTTACGAGGCAAGCAACAACAAGTATTACGTGAGCCCTGTTGTGCATGTTGCATCGCCAACAGGGACACTAGCCGTGATCGCATAACCGTCCGATCAACTAAGATCAGATTTCCCCATTCATATATATATATATATTTCATACTCAAAAAAAAAGGAGAAATGGAGGAGGATATGCATTGAGGTAAAGAAGAAGAAAAAAAAAAAAGAAAGATCAATTCTGACCACTGAAAAAAACAATGTTTTTTTTTTTTTTTGTTGTTGCCTGGGATGGAATCGATACATATTGTCTATTATTGCCCTTTCTTTGTTTTTGTTGTGTGTGTGCGTCTCATTTCCCTTGGCAATTCCGATTGTAGAGGGAAAGGAATTATGGTGGAGACCCCAAGAAGCAAGGAGGCCCTAACGAAGCTTTGCAGCTTCCTCGCCGGCGATAAGAGCTCTAAAAGGGAGAATGACATACTGGGGGATCTATTCTCTCCGTCCACTCAGACGCATTTCCGAAGCGTGGACGTGGAAGTGACTTTTTTGCTGTCCCCTGTGGCTCACCGCGTTCCACTTTACTTCACAGTTCCTCATGAGGTGCTGCCAGGGACGGTATGCTTAGTCACTCCTCCGGCCCAGCGCAAGTACAAGGATAAGATATTGCGTCTGAGCGAAGAAGGCAATTCTGTTGCGCAACGCGTGAAGAAAGTCATTGACACGAAAAAGCTCAGCACGAAGTTTGTTGATCCCGTTGCAGTGAGGGCTCTTGCCAACAGCTTCGACCACTTCATTCTTTTTGGCGTCAAGAAATATCCTCCTCAGCTCACGGGAGAATTTCTCGGGCATCAAAAGTCACCAGTGTGGGTGTCGCGTCGCGGGGGGCTGAGGGAAAAACTACTCAGTGCAGTGAAAACGGTGGTGTTTCAGCGCCGAGGGAACAGTGCCGTGACGTGCCGCATTGGCCACACAGGCCTTTTGCTGGAACAACTACATGAAAACCTCCACTCGTTCCTTGCGCAGATGACTAGCCATGCTCAAGCAGCTACTCCTCAGGATATCCTGCACATTCGTGTGGCTGGAACAAATACGGATGGCAGGCGTGCGGGTCTTCCAATCTTCTCCCACGCGTTTCAGATTCCACACAAAATGCCACTGGATGAGAGTGAGGGGCCAAAAACAAAGAAGTTGAAGAGAAAATAATTAATTCTGTTACCGGTTAATATACAAACTAACTGCTGCATTTCACTCATGAATCTATTCTATACGTCCTCTCGCCTCGTGCCTATTTATTCCTCCATGCCGTTAGTTTGAATTTTTTCTCTTTTCTTTATATATATACATATATATGTGCCATCTAGATCTTTTTTTCTTTTTTTTTTTTTTTTTTGGAAGAATACGCCATTTGCTTTTTGAGTTTAACATTTTACGAGAAGAAGCAAAAAGGAGTAAATGTCTTTTATGCAAACTGGGCCGACGTCCATGTTGAAGGACGGGGCCACTTTTCTTGATGACCCTGTCATTAAGAACATTGAGGCTTGTCGTGAAATTGCGAAAATCACGCGCAGCTCCATGGGCCCTTACGGGTTGTGTAAAATGGTGGTCAACCATCTCAACAAACTTTTTGTGACTCACGACGCCGCAACCATTCTTCGTGAAATTGAGGTTGAACACCCGGCAGCTAAGTTGCTGGTGCAGGCTTCCGAAGCCATGCAGCAAGAGGTGGGGGATGGCACGAACCTGGTCGTTGCTCTGGCTGGAGAACTACTGTCGCAGGCAGAATCACTTGTGCGCATGGGTCTTCATCCAAGTGAAATTGTGGAAGGGTACAAAAAGGCAGGGAACAGAAGTCTGGAAACACTCCAAACCTTGGTGATTCAAAAGGTGGATGATGTGCTGCTCAAGGAACAGGTGCTTGCTCCCATTCGCACAGCTATCGCTTCAAAACAATACGGCTATGAAAATTTTTTGGCAGACATTGTTGTTGAAGCGTGCATTAACGCATGTCCTTCTAATGTTCGGTCTTTCAATGTTGAAAACGTGCGAGTGGCAAAGCTAGATGGGGATTCGGTGCTGGCATCCAAGAACGTCCGTGGATTTGTGATTGCACGCAGTCCTGAAGGTAGTGTACGTCATCAGAAAAGAGCCAGGATTGCTGTGTATGGCTGCGCAGTTGATGTCCCGTCAACAGAAACCAAGGGAACTGCATTGATTGAATCCGCTGAAGGGCTTATTTCTTTTTCCAGAAAGGAGGAAGAGGTGATGGAGGAAATCATCACAAACATTCATAAGACGGGTGTGAATGTTGTCGTTTCCAACTCCACCTTCGGCGACCTTGCATTACACTTTCTTAATCGCTATGGTATCATGGCGGTTAAAGTTTCCTCTAAATTTGAGCTTCGACGCCTTTGCACCGCTGTGGGGGCTCGAGTTCTTGCCCGACTGGACACACCGACTGTGGAAGACATTGGTTCATGTGACAATGTGGATGTGAGTGACGTGGGTGGGAAAAACATTACTTCTTTTGTACAAGACAGGGATGACTCAAAATTGTCTACCATCGTTGTACGCGGAGCCACGAAGAATGTTCTGGATGATGTTGAGCGTGCAATTGATGATGGTGTAAACGTCTTCAAGGCTCTTACAAAGGACAAGAGGCTTGTAGCTGGAGCAGGCGCTGTGGAAATGGAGCTGCAGAAGGACCTTACACGCTATGCCGAGGCAAGTCCTGGTCTTGACCAGTACGCCGTTCGCAAATATGCGTCCAGCTTTGAAGTGGTCCCCCGTACCCTGGCCGAGGTTAGTGGCTTCAATGGAACAGATGTCGTTACACAGCTGGAGGTTGACCACAATGCCGACAAGATACATCAGGGTGTTTGCGTGGAGGATGGTACCACAATTAATGCCGTGGAGTTGGGTATTGTGGAGCCTTACCTCACAAAGTACTGGGCGATTAGCCTGGCCACCGAGGCGGTTTTAACGATTCTTCAAGTAAATCAGATCATTGTCGCTAAGCAGGCTGGTGGCCCCAAGAACCGTCCGGACCAAGCCAGAGATGAGGAGTGAGGGAGAATTAAAAGGGAAAAGGAAATAAATGGAGAAGGAAAGTGGAAAAAAAAGGGGAAATGAAAAGGAAATATATATATCAAACAATGGCTTGTGAAGTACATCCGATAAAGAAAATAGAGTAGCCTCTATGATGGCTTTTTTCCCTTTTTTAGCGCCGTGCATTAGATGAAAGGTGCGTTGGGAGGAGAGGGAGAAGGCGAACGGAATGATTCCCGGGGCATTAACTTCCAGGTACCATATATATTCTAAAATGAGCGTAAGGGTGGTACACATAATGAAAATACCCATATTATTATTATTATTATTATTATTATTACTTATGATTTTGATTGGGTTTTGTCCCTTTCTATCCTCCTTTTTCTTACCGGCCACTTTATGGAGTGGCCGGAAATTTTGTTTTCCGAAACTCTTTTTGCGGTTCTTTATTTTTTATATTTTTCTCTTTTTGCAGGAGGTCGTCGTCTGGATGCGATGGATAATCCGTGTCTGGATCTTCAAGGCCTTGGTGTGTCGAGCTTCTGGGGCATCAAAGACACTGGAGTGGAGTATGTCACCATTGACCTGCGAAACAATTCTCTGCGGAATTTTGAGCACTTTGGCACCCACCCAAAACTGGTCGAACTGCAGCTTCAAAACAATCAAATAGAGAGTTTAATGGGTCTGACACGACAACCTTCGCTTGCTGCGCTGGAACTTGATGGGAATCCCATTGCCGCCCATCCATGGTATCGTGTCATGGCACTAATGGCTGTTGGGTTTTCCATCACAAAAATTGACGGAGTTGCCGTTTCGGTAAATGAGCGCGACATGGCACGGGCCTTGGGTCCTGCTGCTTCCCTTGCAGTCAGTTATGGATGGAAATTGCAGCCAGGGGAGCGGTCACCAGAAGAGTATCGCCATGTTATAGAAGAATGCAAAAAGGCCCGAAAGCGCTCTCTGCAACAGCAGGGCTCTTTACGAACCATTGCACACGTGCTGAAGCGAAACGAGGCCACTGGACTCGTGGCGGCCCCCATTCCTGAGAAAAATTTTGCGGAGGGTGGCCGGGATGCTTGGAACTTGGAATCTCTTTCAGCACGTGTGAGACAGCTCGAAAATTTACTTAGCAATGCAAAGGAAAAGCTGGAAACTCAGCAGGCACTTTGGAGAGAGAACGTTGAATTGGACCGGGTGGAGGGTCTAACCGGCGCGGAGCTTTGTCGTGCGCGAAGTATTTTGTTTGCTGATGGCATTTATTTGCGTACAAACACAATGGCTTTGCCACCTCACAAACGAAATGGGTTGATAAGTGGCTCTCTCATGTTTGAAGGGTTGTCATTGGTTCTTCTTAGTTTTATGTCAAGAGTTCGTTTGGCTGAATGGGCACTGGATGGCATAAAGGCTAGGTACTATCCACCGAATTTTTTGCGTATCGAGGGGACATATGGAGCGATTTTTGATATCTCATTTGAGAACACTCTTTCTCTTTGGACTGTGTACAAATTGATTTACTTGCGAAGCGGAATGCCGGTACCGCCTTTACATTTGGAGGACGAGGTCGGAGTTAACGCCATGTTGAGAAGAAGCACAACTGCAGACATGGCTCTGAACGCCAATGAGAAGACCGGTAGATCCAGCAGCACCGGTACCGAAGAGGAGGGAGGCCATGGGGAACGCGAGTCACGAGAAGAGATCATTGGTAGAGTGACCCCTTTTTTTTCGGGACCAAGATCTCTTCACGAAGATGAGGGCCCACTTGGGGATTCCTCTTTTTTAGAGGATCGAAGCGTGCAGCCGGTCTCAAATACGGCGGCTTCGTCAGGAGAGAATGTGCTGCGGGACAGCTCTGTTGATGAAGGGTCCATCAGCCGCCCTGTGGCTGATGCTTCCACGTTCAATAACGAAGGGCACACGGAAGAGGATCGCAACACAAATAAAGCAGTACGTGCCAGAGACTTGTCATTGCCACGTGGACAGCCTCCACCACCTTCACGAGCACCGATTCGTCGTTGTACCCTCACATTTGCACCATTGATCCCAAAACGTCACCCTTCGTCTAACAGGAGTTCTGGTGCTTCGGGGAACTCGAATTTCATTGACAGAGTTCCGGTGTGCCCTGGGGCTGGCCTTCACTTCCATATTCATAAATTTCGCATTGCTGCGTCAGATTCAGATTCGGATTCGGATTCGGACTTGTTGGTGAAGAGCCATTCTGAAAGGCGACTGTAAATTCCAATGTAAAACAAAAAATAAAGAGGGGGGAACAGGTATGCTTTTCTGTAATATAAGAGAGCACATTGTTTTTAACTACCAGGCAGTCGTTTCTCAAAAATTTATCCGCACCATCGTTGTTACTTTTTCACCCCCTTTTTGTGTTTTTTCTTTTTTCTGTACTTGTACCTTCCGGGTGATCCTGTGTGATATAGCAGCTGTCAAGGGAGTAAATGGAGCCACGGGAAGGTGTAATGATTAAAATCGACGATGCTGTCAAAAAGGCTGTGGAAGATACTATCAGCGCAGAGGTTCGATCAGGGGCGGTCGGGAAATATTCGAACCCGTCGGCTTCCGGTCATGCAACCTCCCATCTACTTGCCCTGACGACGTTTGACACATCGTCCACGCTTCCGGATTTTATTCCACTGGTGGGTGTATCGTGGCCGGAACCTGTAAAGGCAGTTTGGAAAACCTTCAGGGCAAACTCCATTGTTGGTCTTTTCCCGGAGCTTTCAAGGGCGTGGATAACTGTTGACAATAAACTCTTATTATGGAATTATGGTACAGGGAGGGATTTTTTGGTTTATGATGAGATACCCGAACTTATCGTGGCAGTTGGCAATCCGGTTACACCTGTAGCTGGTGTTTTTCAGCCTCACATAACACTTGTGTTTCCTGTGGCCACCCCGAAAACGATTCACCTTCTGGGGTTGTGTGTCGTGGGAGATGAAACTGCAAAAAAGGCCGAACTATGCGTAGTGAACCTTGGTTTTTCGGTATTGGCCCCCACGCTTTTCATAAAGTTAGTTGGGTTGAGGGATTTAGGACGTGTCTTTGCTGTTGGAGCAGATGGCTGTCTGTATGAGCTGAAATATACAAAGGAGAGCACACCTTTTATTCCGAAAGTTCGGCTTATAAATCATTCTATTATCTTTGCCGGCATTCCAATTCTGAGCACCGTTAGTTCTCTTATGAGCACGTTGAAACAAACATGGGCAAAACAAAGGCCCGCATTACGTGACATTGCCGCGGAGTCAAAACGCAAATTGCTGTTTACATTGGATGCTGAGGGAAAAATATTGATGTGGAGAATAACGGAAGAGGGGCTGAAGGTTCTCACGACAGTAAAATGCACCCGTAGCTCCTTTGAGCACCACCGTCACTTGGAGTCATCCGCGGATGATGCTACAAGCTTTGTCAAGATATTTTGTGTTTCACCTTACGATGAAAACTTTTCCGTTGTTGTCATTACATCCAATGGGGAGCAGTACCGATATTTATGCCAAGAAGGAATGTGGGATCGTACCGACGGAAACCTCACATTGCGAGATTGGACACCCTCGTGTATTCCCTCCAATCGTGAGGTCAGTGTTTGCTTTACCTCGGATGGCGTTGCTCTTTTCTGTCACACCGAGAAGGATGACGAAAATGCCTCCTCGGATTCCGTTGCTGTGACCACCTCCCCCAAAACTGTTCTACCACCACATCATCATTGTCGCGATATCGTCGCCCACTTTGAGCCCTCAGCGTCACTTATGGCTCGAGTCGACGCAATTGGTGAGGTCCCCGTTAGGGAGAGTGTGAGTCCGAATGAATTGTGCTCCCAGGTCGTTTGCTCACCTAGGCAATTTGTGTTTGTTCACCGTCATGGTATCTCAACATTTATGAAGTTGCGTCCCGTGGACACCCTTCACATGATACTTTCATTTTCCGGTCAACAAATTCGTGACAACCTCCTTCAGCGTTTTTCGTCTGTGTACAGTGCCTCTGATTATTGTTGTATGCTTTTGCAGATTGCTGTTGGGTGTACAAACGTCCCGGCTATCGTAGAGGGACCATATATTGAGAATGGCATTGCCAATTCCCCCTTTTCTCAAATGGAAAAAACCCATGTAAAATCAAATGGGCCGCTTTCAATGGATCAGGTCGGATCTCAGCTTATTAATGCAACCTCACAAGAAGCCCAACGTCTGGCCCGTGAAATACTTCGCAATGCGATGATGCCCAGTTGGCACGAGGGCCCAATTTCTGCTAGTGGTAGCAGACAAATTGTTGTGCAGGTCTCACCCTTTGCGTTGGGGGTCGCGGCATATATTGGAAGGGCGCTCTATAAAGTCTGGGAGACGCCGATGGGAAATCTCCCCCTACACGATCTGGCTGTCATTGAGGTGGTGCTGTCATCGTTGGTGCGTCTGCTGAATAGTTTAAAAAAGGACGTGTGGTCCGAAAATATGGTTCAGCTCTCTGTACCCTTTCGATGGGATCAGAGCAAAGTGACACTGACATTTCCTTCTCATGGCTCATCTGTATCCTCATACGATCTCAAAATGTTGCAGTCTGCCTTTTTGTATTCGTCTCACTCTCTTTGTGAGCGTGTACTGCAGACGATAAAGTTTGCAAAACAAACAGCATACATTCCGCTCTCTTTAGATGACAGCAAAATCACCCTTGCACAAGTTGTAGGGGATCAGAGCATTGCACACCGATTGGCACGATACATTGGAAGGTTAGTATTGTCCACGGAGCAAAGGGTTGGATTTTTGCAGCAAGACCGTATTGCTCCAATGACACAACTTCAACTAGAATGTCCATACTTCTTCAGTTCTATTGATGTTCACGAGTACAGTGCAAGGATCGAACTTGATCAGCTACATTCTTCGAGTGGCGAAGGTCTTTATGCACTTTCGGAGAGTAAAATGACGGATTGGGAATCTTCTGTTTCTCGAATGGCTGCGTCATTGTGGTCTTCAGGAGCGCTACAAGGCATCTGCCAACAACTGAAGGCACTTAAGAAGGAGGACACGCTTGTCAGACTTCTTCTCCACGCTGCGAGTCAGTTAGACCCAAGCAATTCGGCATTTGAGATTTACCTGGCTGAAAGAAACGGTAACAGAAGTCAATGTTTCAGTTCCACACTTAATGCCGTGTATAACCAGAAAGTGAAGGTTCTAACTGCGGTGATTAGCACTCTTGAAGAAACATGGAATACACACCGTAGTGTGGTGGACGACCTCCTGGGAGGGCCGTTGTCTTCGGGTTCTATTTGGCAGGTGGAACCCTCAGATGAGATGGCGCATTGTTTTCTATTTGATTGGATGTGTGTCCCACGAGATGATGCGACGATTACATCTATGCTTAAAGAAACGTTGGTCACGGCACGCTCTCCGTTTCTTGAGGCTTATCTTCATCAAAATGCACTAACTCTTGGTGAACAATACGCACACTACTTGCGAAGGACAAAGAAAAACTACAAGAAGGCCATTGAAGTTTGCGCTGCGATGGCTCAGGCACCACTGGCAGATATTCCACGAGAAGAACGCATCCCGTATCGTCTCCGGTGTTGGTCTGAGGCAAGAGACTGCGCTGCTGAGTGCAACTCCGATCAGTTGTCTCTTCTGGAAGAGCGTGTCAAGCTTATGGAGGCGCAACTTCAACTGTCAAAGATCATTTGTGAGTTTATTAATAGCGGCCTTCCTCAGCTGGACCGACAGGTTTCTGTGAGCGGGAGGGGATTCCTTACGGAGCGACAAGTTGCATTGGAGCAGTTGGAGCTTGTGGATAATTTCGCGCTTTCCACAAGTCAACTACTTGAAGTTGCGGGCTTGTTTTATGCATTTGGTGGTGCGGAAATTCAATTGGACGTCTTGAGTGCTGCGAATGTGACGGACGCATCGCTTTACGCCGCGTGCGTCGAAAGTGCGTTTAAGAGAAGGAACACAACTGTTGAAGAAACGGCACGACGGATCATTGGAAAATGTAGACATTTAATTGCCTTTCCTTTGAGCCACGTGGCCAAAATACTTGAAGCCTATGCGTTTCATCAGTCACCTGACGGATCTACGCTGACAGTCGACATCCTCACTGAATGTGGTGTGGAACGCAACATCGTCTTCTCTACGCTGGCAACGATTGTTGAAAAAAAAGATACAGTTGGGCTTCCCTGCGAAGCCTTTGATGAATCCGGGGTGACAGATGCTTTTCTGATGCATTCGCTGGCAGTTGCCCTTCATCGTGTGGTGTTTGCCCCGCACGTTGGGTCTGTGCAGCTGCATTTTTTGAGGAATGCTCTCAATACAGTTCGCGAGGGCATCAATAGAGTTGCGTATTTTCCTGCTGATGAGGACAGCTGCCGAGCGTTAACTGCAGCGGAAAGAATACTGGAGCAGTGCCACCTTGCTACAAGTCGGCTAACGTCCAGGCCTGTTTTCTAGGGTTTTTAAGAATAGAAACAAAACAAAGACGGAAGGGAAAAAAAAAGAACGAATAGAAAAGAAGGAAACAGAAGTAAAGAGAAACTTTTTAATCGATTTTGGGTCGGGCTGACCTGCAGATGGCGTTGGTGAGTTAAGATAAAATAGTGTAATGCATATGGCGTGTGTCTGCCTGGAAGTATGAATGGGCGCAGAGGAATTGCTAAAGAGGAGTAGGTGCAGTAAAATGGTTGAATTGCTTTTGTTGTTTTTGTTTTTCTTATTTCTTGTTGTTGCATTGCTCACAGTATAGGGAAGTCCACTAAGGCTTGACTTGGGTTGACACGCTGCGGAGATGCGTGTGATGCGAAACTTTGTCGCTTGCCTGGGTGGTGCCCGTCGCTTCCTAGGTGAATTCGTTGGTTACTGTGATGTCAGCTGTGAGAAGGGACATCACGTGGACGGTAATGTTTGGTATGCCGACCACTACCTTTATCCAAACCATTGGCAACCCGGATCTAAGGTTCAGCCGCAACTTGTAGACGATGGTCAGGTGCGCTCTTGGTTTGATTTGTGGGCCATGGCTGTTGCCATTCGTACGTGCATCTTGATATTGATGGTACTATTGCTTCTGTTGTTCATATAATTTGTGCAGGAGTGTTTTGATGTGTCGGTGTTTTTGTTTTTGGAGCACTTAAACGTAAGGAGGCAACTGGAATACTTTTATTGTTTCTCTGTTTATCTGCATCTCCACTCTTCTCGCAACAAGCGCGCCTCTTTGGTACCATAGGGAGGAAGAAAAGGGAGGTGGTATGACTGATTTTGTCTCTCGCGTGAAGAGGTTAAGAAACCGAATCAAAGTCAAACGCGATGAAGTACACCGTCACTTGGAGAATTCCTTCTACCGTGAGTGTCGTAGTGTTCTGAACGCCGTGATGAAGCAAGATGAAAACGGAATATTTGCCTCTAATCCTGCCGCGCTACCGGAGTACGTGCTGATGATTTCGCGTCCAATTTGGTGGAAGCTGATATCCCGCCGCCTTGACAGGTACGAGTACGGCACCAAGATGGAGTTTTTGCATGACATGAGGCTTGTTATAGACAACTGCTACGCGTACAATGGTGAAGTTTCTCCAGTGGCAGCGTTGGGACGGCGCCTGGAGGTGGTGATGGAGGATCTCTTTGTGACGAAGCTTGCCGTCGCGCCCCCAGATGCAAGAGAGATCATTACACTTGGCAAGGGTGTAAATCATGCGCAGGCCCGGCAGCTGTGGGATATTGTGTGCCGCTACGAGGGCCAGGGGCAGGGAACTTCCGCTGCGAGGCGGCACATAGTTCCTTCTCAGCTGAAGTGTGCAACACAGCGGCGGGTGATTGCGTTCCTTCGCCAAAAAATGGGGCCACACGAACAGAATGTTCGGTCGGGGAAAGGTTCCTCCTTACGCCAACAACAGCAACAGCAACCGCTTTCTTCTCTTCCTCTGCCTGCGAAACCTCAGACGCCAAAGCATCCGGCGCAAAGCCTACTGAAGGAGGACACGGACGTCGCGTTTAGTACGGAGAAGATGACGCCAAACCATCTTCAGGAGCCACAGCTTGAGCGTGTGCCACAGAACAAACGGTCGGGTTTTGCCTCTTTTTGTCCAGTGAGTCCTATTCATCTTGAAAGCTCAGATATTGAGGAGGAAGAAGAGATTTGATTCTCTTTTTTTAGTGAGCTGGACTGCTGAGGAATATAATATATATTTGGAGGGAGGACACTTTTTTTTCCCGCATTTTTTTTTTTTTTCATTACTTTTTACGCTTGTGTGTATGTGTGGTGTATTCATCACTCCTGCATTCTTTTTTTTTTTTTTTTTTTTTTTTTTGATTTCTCTTTCCGTGAAGCGGGGAAAATACGGGTTGGCTCAATTTCACCCTTAGTTGTGGGTACTTGACGTGATGAGCCGCGCCGTGACGAAGGAGCAATACGCCAGTCTGAGAGCGATAAGGCGCACGCTGTTGGGCACATGCTCCGGGGTCCCGCGGCAGGAAATATTGGATGCTCATTCCATGGGCCTCATCAACTTTCTGAGCAGTAAGGAGTCCAAATTGCAGGCCCTTGTGAGGCAAATGGATATTGGAGCCCACGATTCCATGCACTCTGTGAAGTCGCTGGTTGAGTTCATGAGCTTCATTGTGGGCGGTCTTACAGTCGAGGCAGATAAGATTGAGGAGGCGGTATTAAATACGAGGAGGGCTGTGGCAACCCTCACGCATGAAATTCAGCGCTGTGAAATGGAACTGGAACACAAGCAGCAGTACGGCGGCACCAATGTCACTCGAGCACTGGCCCAGTTCTACCGCACGAAGCTTGTAATTTCTTCGAGCACAGCCAGCAGCAACCGGAATGAGAAGGGGTGTACGCACGAGCTTGCTCGGACCATCGCAGAGGACCGCGCTCGCCTGCAAGAAACCAAAAGAAACCTGCGAGTTCTCATCATGGTGCAACGAATTCTGTGGGGATCTGGTATTGTGTCACAGGAGGATGTTAAATATATGCTTTGTGAATTTGGCGTCGCGCTAACTATTCGTCGGTTTAATCACAAGTTGAGGGATCTCATGCTTCCACTGAGGCAGGAGGCACGAGACCCGCTTAAATGCTTACTTTCTCTCGAGGGGTTTATCGAAAATGTTCATATTGGGCTTTCTGCGGCATTAGAAGATTTAGATGACTGTCTTGTGTCAATAAAGAAGTGCATTTTGCTGCAACAGGAAGAATTTAGGGTCCGTCGCACCAACGCATTGCGTGAGAGACCCTCGGCGGAGGTATCTTCAGTGTTTCACTCATCGAGGCCCAACAGACGGGTGTTGCTGACATCGGCAAAGGAGACCGAAGAACTCAGCAAACTGTATTGTTCATAGATTTTATTTTTCGCGCGGTTCCTTCCTTCATTTAGAACAAAATTGCAATTTGTCTTTATTTTGTTTGTTTGTTTTTTATTTTTTGTTGTTGTTCTTTTTTTTTGTACATTTATGAGCATCACACGAATATTTTTTTTCGAAAGCACACACACAAAAAAAAAAAACATTTGAACGGCGATATTTGTGGCGTCTTTTAGTTGTTGTTTGTTTTTTGCTTTTATTGAGCTATTTTTTGTCGGCCACTTTTTTTCTTTTTTTTTTTTTTTTTTTTTTTTGGTGTTTTTTATTTATTTATTTTTCTTGTGTTTCCGTGTGTGGTTGCGGCCTTTGCCATCGTGGGTGATTTCAGCTTTGGAAGACCGGGCGCGTAGCTGACGCGGCAAATTCTGTGACATGAGCCGCAAGCGCGTGCGATCTTCAGAGGCGGGACAGTACTGGCTGATGAAGTCCGATTTTCACACGTTTTCGATTGATGATTTGAAAAAAAGCGGGTGCTCCCCGTGGGATGGCGTGCGCAACTACGCGGCGCGGAACAACATGCGGGCAATGAAAGTTGGAGACCGTATCTTGTTTTACCATAGCTGTGCGAAGCCAGCAGGAGTGGCGGGCCTCGCTGTAGTTGTGAGAACGGCGTATCCCGATCATACAGCATTGGATCCAGCGTCACCATACTACGATGTCAGAGCGACAAAAGAAAAAAACCCGTGGGAAATGGTTGACGTTCAGTTTGAAGAAAAGTTTCCTTCATTGGTGACGCTGGAACGGCTAAAAGCGGAAAAAGAACTGCGTGACATGAAACTTTTTTCAATGGCAAGGCTAAGCGTGCAGCCTGTAACGAGAAGTGAGTATGAATGCGTCGTGTGGCTTGGGCGTGGGGGCAAAGGGGGATGTCGGTGATTCAACACGCTCAGCCGATTGCGTGTATTGAAATAGGTGGAGCGCCTTTGCCTCCACGGTAGGTGGGGGTGGGATGCTTGAGAAAAGCATTTATCATTATCATTCCGGTCTTGTACCATTTGATCCTTCCGTTCCTTTTTTATTTTATTTTGGTAGCAAAGATGAATCGCGAGGCAGTGGCGGTTCCTTTATCTGCAGTGCCGACGTCGTTGGTGTCGCCACCCCTCCCCATGCCACCGCCTCTGTTGCCGGCAACGGTTTTGTCGTCAGTCCCTCCGACAAATGCGCCGCCGCAGCCGGTAACGCCACCGCCTTTCTTGGCTTTGGAGCCGCACACGACACGCCAGGAGGCAGACAAGCCGGCGCTCCCAGTACTGTTGCCTGTAGAATCCCCACCCCGGGCGGGTATAAAGGACATGAGCGCGGTCTCGCCACCGGGGCAAAAGGATGTCGTGGAGGAGAAAAGTACGGTCGCGGAACAACCTGCATTCACGGTGTATCCTCCATCCTGTGACAAACCTCAGACGAAGCACGTTTCTTTATTTGGCAAAGTTCGATTTCCTAGCGTTTTTGCCGCCCCCGTTTGCGTGCCTGCCACAGAAATTCTCTCCGCTCTGCCTCAGCAGTTGCCTCCTCCGTACGTTGTGTTTGGTGGAGCGCGGTATGATCAAATGCCCTTTACAAAAAAGGCGCAGCGATATGTTGACCCGAGCAGAAGTTGTCAGCGTGCTACTGCAATGAAGCGAGCCAGTTTAGATTACATGAAAGGACAACTGAAGCTTGCCAGGGAGTACTTGGATTTAGGAACGTCTCCTGTGCCTCCTGATGCGCCCAAAGGAGGGCAACCGTTGCCAAATGGCGTCATCAAACCGGCAACCACTTTATCGTTCGAAGATGGAGCTTTTTCCCAAAAGAACATTTGGACAGTGGCCTACACGGGATCCGCGAAGGAGCTCCACGGTTTCATCGAATCCCTCGATGTGGATGCCCTCAACGCCAATGGGTTTGTGCTATACAATCGGCGCCAATATGGCATTAAAAAGCTTGGTGAAAAGTTTGTTTTGGGTCTTGGCCAGAAGGCTAGCCCTTTGCAATTTGCTGCTGTTGCAGGCCATCTTGACAATGTTGTTCTGCTACTTCATTACGGGGCAATGGACAACTCAACCCCACGATTGAAAGATATTGTTGGTGCCGATGTTATGAAAATGATTCGGGGGTTAAGAGCAGGGCTCCGCTGTAGGCGAGCTGCTCCGAGCAGTAAGGTCAAAGTGGAAGATGATGTTCTTGTGACGAATGCCCCTTTACCATTGACAGCGGAGGAAGTTGTCCCTCCTATGGGCATGGATTCAAACTTCTCAATTGGAATTTCATTGCGATAGAAGTGCTCCCTCGTCCTTTGTTTACGTTCTTAAATGCCTCTGTGTAACTGGATGAAATGAATATCGAGATTGAGATGAATGGCGTTATTATTTTTTTTTTTTTTTCTTTCCTTGGCTACCTTTTTTTTTTTTTTTTGTGTGTGTGTGCATCTATTGCGCATTTATAGTATCCGCGTCATTCATTCCCTTCGCATGGAAACGTTTCTTGATGGATGCTTTTTCAAAAAGCCGTGGACTGATGGAAGGGTAGAAGGCGTGGTGGAGTACGCTGGCACCGGCAAAGGACGTCTATTCTGCACCGGTGCCTTTACCTCTTTTGAAGTGAAGGAGTCGCACCAGGGTGATGTAAAGTGTCTCCCCACCGGTGCACGCACGCTCCTTCTGGACGCGGATGCGAGTAAAGTTATGGTCCGTGGCGTGGATAAGTTTTTTGACCTTGAAGATGATAAAACCGAAGAGCTTAATAAGGATGAACTGTGGGAAATGGGCTCTGTGTGGCTTCAGAGAAAGGTGGCTGGCTTCACAGTCACATTGTTTTCTCTGGACGGTGGGTCTGTCGGCGTTACCACAAAGCATGTTGTGGAGGGCTTGCATGTTGAGTTGGCTCGGTGCGTGTTGGACCACCTCTTGAGTGCCGAGCAACAGAAATTGCTTGCTTTTGACTTGTTTTCGGTAGAAGCCGCGGTGTGCTGCGAGTGTGTCTCTCTAAAGGACGATCTGCACCACCCAGTGTTGGAACCAGTTGAATATGACAACAAGTTGTTTATTTTTTCGGTTCATAAACGGAATGACCTTCGGGAAATTGCGGTGCCTATTGAAAAGGTGCAGGTGATGTCAAAGAGGTGGGGACTGCCTGTGGTGCCTTCATGGCGTGCCGGAGGTCGTGAGAAACTACAACAGTGGTTACAAAAAAGGGAAAAATGGTTGGGGGAAGGCCCAGATGGCATACCGCTTGCTGAGGGGTATGTTGTTCTTGTTGAAATACCCGTAACGCGAATGTCATCATCAGTTGTGCTTGAGGAGCCTTTTACTGTGGCTCCGCTTCGCTTGAAGGCGAAGACTGTAAAGTATCGTGTCCTACGCTCCCTGCGCTCCATTCTAACGGGAGACTCCACAGAGAGCCCAAAACTATTTCATGACGTCCTAGCTGTGTGGTCGGAGCTTATTGGCGGGTATAAATGTTTTAAACAGGCGGTGGCTCAACGCGGGGTGTGTGAAATTTGTTCCCAGTTTGAGACCCACGTCTCCACGCACAGCAAGAGAAGACTACGTGGAAGTCATATGAGCATTGGGCAAGCCTTTGAAAAACTAATAAATTTTACTGAAGGAGAAGCGCTTGTGAAGCGGCGCGCGTCCCTCAACGTTATTATGTTGTGTGGTATACCAGGAGCTGGCAAGACAACTTTGAGTCTGGCCCTTATGGCGATGGCGGAGCGTGGTGACTCTCCCTTTCGATATTTAATCTACCTGAGCAGGGATCAAGTTGCCAGGGATGTTGCTGCACAGGAAGGCATTGATGACTCTTCTAGCAAGCACAAACAGAGAAAACTGAGGGCAATGGTGCATCACGCGTTGTTAGAAGCAGTGAAACAGGCAGTGTTGTTTTCGCTCATTCAGGAAGGTCCTGGTCTTCTTCTCATGGATGCTTGTAATGCAAAGGCCGAAACGCGGCGTGTGTGGCGCGGCAAATTGCCCCCCAAAGTGGAGAGTTTTCGTTTGCTTCATGTCACCTGCTCGGACCACCCCGAACTTTTGCGACGCCTTGCTAAACGGCGGGATCATGACGTTATTCGCAACAATTCGGAAGCGCAGACCGTACTTTACGCGGTAAAGAAGGTGTTTCTTGAGCCTTTGGAAGATGAGTTGTGTGTGCGGTTGGACACGGCAAGCACCTCAGCGGAGGATATTGCCCGTTATGTTTTTTCTCTCTACAAAGGTGATAGACAACGTTACGCCACTGTCTACGATTACCGGGGGCCTGAGGAAGGCTTGAAGGCACTGCGGGCGACACTTGTTGAATCTCTCTTGGGGCCTGTTGGCGAAGGGGCGTCCACGCTGCTCGTGAGCAGCGTCAAACGAATAAAGACTTCTAACGCCATTTTTGTGCGACTTGAGATTTCTTCGGATGAGCTTTTGCAAATAGCATCGGAGGCTATTATGGCCGTGACGGGAATGGACTGCTTGTCTCTGAGCTGGTGGGAAAAATTCAAACGCGCGCTTGGAATAGAGATACGACCTCTTTGCTCAACCATCGAAGATGGGCATACTCGTTGGATTTATGGTTGGTTATTTGATGGGCGTAAAGAGGGCAAAGCGTTTTCGGCTGATGCATGGCGTCACGCTCTTACTGAACGCTTTGAGTGCCGCGCATCTGCTCCACATGTAACATTTGCCCATGACGCCTCCAGTGTAGAGTCATCTCCTTTGGTCCCCGAAGCCGGCAGCATGGCTGAGGTGAACCTCACCTCTATTTTGTTGGATCGCTTCGCCATTTGTTTTGGCGCCATAGCTGTGGTAAATGGACAGCGCTACGAGAAACAACTTGGTTTATCCGAAGCAGTTCCACTGCATGTGACTGTGTGCCACACAGAGCGTGTAAAACCCTCCTATGCGGGAGAGATGTTTGATCTTTTTAGACAATGGGGCCGTCACAACAAAGAATTACAACACATGAAGAGTGGTGTTTTGGTGAAGAGAAGTCGATTAAAATTCTTTAACTTTTTGAAGCTGCGTCTGGAGAGATCCGTTGCTTTGCGAGGGATTGTTGTTTCCGAGACGTGAGGGAGTTTACGCATGCTTTTTTTTCTTGTGTGTGTGTATGTAACGGACGGGTGCATCACGCCTTCTTTGTCCCACTGCTTTCCAGTGCGTAGTATTCCTGTGCACACTGCTTAGTTGGATGAAACGATGCCTTTCATGTTGTCTTTAGTTTCATTGTTTGATTTCAAATGTCCGACAACCCCATTGCCCTCTTTATATATATATATACTGTTTTTTTTTTTTTTTTTTTTTTTTGATGGATGCAGGAGTTTGGGGTCATGTCGGAAGCTCTTGAGAGCTCGGCCGTCCAGCGCGCCAGGGACGATTACATGCAGCATTTTTCGGATGTCTTCTCGGAGGAACTAGTAAAGGTCTATGAGTCCGATGGGAGCGCAACAGCGGTGGAGCAACTTACCGCCTGCATTGAGATTGGGGTTGCAGTGTGGGGCCACCCAATCGTCGTCAAGAATCCGCTGAGGGGATGAAAGTGGTGTCAATTCGTTTTACCACGCGAATTGTGCGATGCCGCATTTCCTTACGTGTGTGGTTAGGGTGGGGTTATTTTATTTATTTATTTCATCCATTTGTACCCCTTTTTTTATCCTTCTCCTTTTTTTTTTTTTTCTTGGAGTTTATGTAGGCATTACCTCCTCTTCATATACACACTTTTCTTTTTCTTTTTTATCTTCTTTCAGTGTGGGGGAGGGGGACTGCTTTTCCGTTTTAACTTCCGTACAAAACGCTGCAGCCGACCGCCACATTGCTTCTGCTTCGATTGGGGGTAATTGGGGCTGGAGTCCTTAGGAGGGATGATGCGAATAATCCGTCGCGTCTCTCCTGCTGTTGCGGGGAATTTGTTGGGGTGTAATAGGTCCTGCTCCAGTAATAAGAGTGCGACGCTAACTCAAGGGGAGCTGCAGCAACTCGTCAAGTTACTTGAAGAGGACCCCAAGCTTTTGATTGATTTGGTTGGAAGACTAGACGCACAAAGCAGACGGCGTTTGATCGTTGCTGGTGGAGCCATGGAATGGTTCGGAAAGGAGAGCGCTGCATCAGAGGTGGAGCGGGCGGATGTCGACAAGGACCTCCTCATCTCTCCGAAAGACTTTGACCATTGGCTAGAGAGTGCCTTGCGTAGAAGAGTGCGCGGGAAGTGGCCACAACAACAGGAAGACCCTGCCGCGGCTGATGAAGAGATAAGGGTGCCGTTCCTCGCATTGGTTCGGATAGCATTTGGGGCGGGACTACCGTTTGTGGGATTTGGTTTTCTTGATAACGCAGTGATGATACTCGCGGGTGACGCAATCGACAGCACTCTTGGGTTTTATCTCAATTGCTCTGTGATGGCTTGCGCCGCTATGGGCAATATCTTTTCAGGCGCTCTGGGAATGCAATTCCATGGCGTGATTGACAAGGCGGTGCAGAAGTTAAACTTTAATACCCCCGTGCTGACTGAAAGGCAGATGAAGGGTCGACAGGTTTTTTTTGCAGGCCATATTGGCGGCACTATTGGCATAATGACGGGTTTATTCCTTGGCATGTTTCCGCTTCTACTTATTGACAGCGGAGAGGAAAAGGCCGACCACGCGTTGTTCCAGCGCTTGGACAAACACGGCAATGGCTATTTGGAGCTGAAGGAATTAGGGAGGGCGCTGACGGATATGGGTCTGCCGGCAAGCGCTGTTGAAAACGCCATGGAAAAGTACGAACGGAACAGTCAGCTGGACTTTAAGCAGTTTCAAAAAATACGGAATGACGCACGAAGAGGAGAAGCTGTCTTTGCTTAAATAAATTGGCCGGCAATGCTCCGAAATTTCTTTAGCGTTATAAAGAGAGCGATTGCATCGAGGGCCGGAACGAAAAGAAGAAATCTGTGCGCTTTCTAAAAACATGCTGCCAGCTTTTGCATGGTTGAAAAGCATACATGCTTTCTTTTTTCTCTCTCTTTCTCCTTCTACTGGGCTGTTCTTGTTTTGTAGGTTCCCATTTTCTTTTGCCATAGTGTATGCTATGCGAGGTTTTGGAGCGCATTGTGACGCAAATCCTACGGCGGGCGCGTATCCCTCTAACGGCCAAACGGATCTCTGATGCTTTGGGAGGTGTCGTATCGGTTGAAAACATCACTGCGGTTTGTCTGAAACTCGTGGCGGAGGGTGTTTTGGCGAAGTGGGGTGATGAAGCCTATTCTGTAAAATTCTTGAGCCGTCTGGTGCCCCGCAACCTTCTTATCACGGAAGAATATCAGGCGCTTGGCATGACACTGCTCCGCGTTGCGGAAAATACGCTGGTGCATTACATTCCACAAGAAGCAGAGCACCGTTTCTTTGAGGTCCGCAGATCGACGGTTAGTGAGAAGGCCGGTCTTGGACTCTTCCTCCGCTCGTCAAGGGCGTTGCCGCAGGGTGCCGTGATTTGTGAGTATGTTGGCCGGATGTTACACCGCCCGCCGAAGAAAACCAATCAGAGTGTCTACATTGTGAAGCTGCGAAATGTGCCTGCCTACGTGGATGGCGTGGACGAGAACGGCGAGCATCTCTCGTTAGCGACTTTCATCAACGACAACGGGCCTGCTGCCGCCAATGTTGAAATGAGGGAATACGACATGCACTCGGGTCGCGTGTTTGTTGTCGCGAGCCGAGACCTTGTACCAGGCGAGGAGGTGTTGTGTACTTACGGTTCGAGGTACTGGGGTTACTCCTCCTATGACGAGATTGTGCGCAATTTGAATGGCTTGTCTCGAAAACGAAAACGCCAGCGCGATCATGACTTTGACGAGGGCGATGAAGAAGACTTTGGCGATTTTCTCTTCCCCTGCAGGCGGTGCGGAGAACAGCTTCCCAGGCGGCTGATGTCGCTTCACCACCGTACTTGTGGTGATCACCTGGTCAATCAAAAGTTGCTTCATTTAAACTGTTTGCCCCTCAACGACTTCACGGCGATGGAAAACAGGAGCAAAGTGCTGCCGACTGGGCGTCTACGGGCGTTGCGGCGAGCGAAGCACTTCGTTGACTTGGGGGACCCCCAAACCTTTGCGCTTTCTCATGAGGATGTCGTTGGTGATCTTGTTTTCTCATGGTGTGCAGCCTAAAACCATTTTCCAGTAAACTTTTTTGTTTGCTTGTCTGTTTGTTTGTGTGCCTCTGTCAATTTCATGTACATTTCCCTCTCTCTCTCTCTCTGTGTGACGCTTGTCAATAAGAAAAGAACAAAAACAAAAAAAAAAGAATGAGGGGGGGCAAAGAAACAACAGGAGCGCAAAAAAAAAAAAAATGAGGAAAGTTACTTCCCGCTGCTGCTGGTTGAGCCTCAGCTCTTACACAAATGCGCTGGCACATTTCCAGAAAGTCACCATTGGCTTTTTGAATTTCTTTTCCGCTCCATCTATCTTTTTTCTTGTTTTAAGCAAAAGTGAATCTTAATTTCTGGTTAAATAGGCAGCTGAGCACATAGCGCCAGAAGAACGCTAGCGAGGAACGAAGGGGTAAATAAATTGAATACAAGAAAGGAGAAGTAATATTAGAAACAGGAAAGTATGCAGCAGGGCGCCCGAAGTGTAGGCGCTGCAGCGCTCACGTACGTGAAGAAGGAAGCCGCGAGGGTTCTTGCCGAGAGGGAGGGGTACAGTGCCGGTGTCATGAAGACGGTGGAATTTGCACCCGACAAGATTGTTGAGAGAAAGGAGGGGATGCTGAGTTTTCCTTGGTCGGCACGGCGCGGCGCGGTAAATGCTGTCAAATCTGCTCACGGTGGTGCCTTGTCAACACTTGCTGACGCATTCACACGGGTTCACTTGGGTGCCGTCACGACAAGCGCCAAGCTCACATCGGTGAGCTTCGAGATCAGTTTTCTCAGCGCTATTGCGGAAAATACGGAGTGCACCTGCCTGACGCGTCTCGTTAGTCTGGACGTCGGCAACCTGGCATTCATGGACTTTAGCTTTGAGGATGAAATGTCTGGGCAGGTGTTCGCCCGCGGTACACACGTGCTCTGTTGGTGTGGGTGAAATTACTCCCAGATATTGAATGAGTTTGCGTGATGCTGCTCTGAGTTTGATGACGTTTTTTTTTTTTCCCCCGTGCTGCCATTTAGAGGCGCCTTGTGAGGTTTAATTTTGCTTGCTTCTCTCCTTCTTTCTTCTCTCTCCTCTCCCTATCTTTATATCTCTTTTGTGCAAACAAAAAAGCACACACTTGGATAAATATATTTACTTTTTCAGGAAGGATGTGTGATACGGATCTAAGTGAGCTGGTGAAAAAGTTTCAGGCCATTCAACGGCAGACGTTTCCCGATCAAATCGGGGAGCGTAACGTAGTCGAAATCATTAATGTGCTGCGAGAGAAGCAATTGGTTGACCTTCTTTACACCTTGGATGGAAAGGAGTATCTCACATGGGACCAGCTGCGGCGCGAAGTCGTTGACGAAATTGTCTTCAATGGTGGGCGGATGAATGTGGTCGACCTTCCTGGCAGTCTTAATGTGCACTTCACACACATTGAGCGTGTGCTCCAAGATGTTCTTGAAGACCCAACTATCCGCATCGAAAGTGGGGAGCTTCTGACCGACGAATATTTGGACTCCACCATTCAGGCTGCGGCGGACGTGCTGAAGGAAAACGGGTTTCTTTCCATCGCAGAATTTGCAAAAACCCATAGATTTAGCTCAGTTTTTGCGCAAGACCTTCTCATGAAGGCGGTGGAGTCACAGAGATTGCGTGCAGTTGCGGAAAGAAGTGCCATGTACACAACACAGTTTGTGCATTCGCAAAAGGCCATCTTGCGGGCAGGTCTTATGGCTGCGACGCGGCCAGTAAACCTGACAACGTTCTTTGAAAGGCACAATCTCTTTGTTCCACTTATGGATCCAGTCATCGACGCCGTGCGCGCTGAACTACCCGGTAAATTTGTTGGTGGGGTTTATGTGCCAACATATTTTGAAGTCACCCGCGCAGAGCAAGTGGAAAATGTTTATCTCTCCAATGGCTTTATTGAATATGCGTCTTTGCACCAACATGGCATCTCCCAGGCGAAGGAATTTCTTCTTGGAAAGTACAACCCTGTCGTGGAAGGTTCTGCAGCAAGAACAGCGACCGGAACGGAGGTGCGGAAACGGCGAGGGCGTCGTAATCAGAACGCGGATGCCACCGTGGAGGCGGCACCAGTGGCTCGTAGTGAAACTCACCCGAACGCCGGTCATGCACTTTCTAGTTGTTTTGTTTCCGATCGATTCCTTGCTAACCTCGTTGCTCTTGAGGATCTTGCGCATGGAGATACCCTGGCGTTGGATCTTTCGCTGCATTTGCCATCTGCTGTCAGCTTTGAGAAGGATTCTAACGTTCTTTTAAGGCGACTCCGTGAGTTGCATCCCGTTATTGATTCTTGTATCGTGCTGGATGGAGGCTTGTTGGTTCACGAGGCTGCCCTGGATAAATTCAGGGCGCGACTGCGCGTCGTCTTTGAAGAGAGCTTCAAGCAAGGAGGGAAACGGAAAAGGAGCAAAACAAGTGAATCTGCTGCGTCTGGAGACGAAAAAGAACAATCAGTCCTTCGTGTATTAGCTGATGTGACTGGTCTCTCCTTAGAGGAATATTCAACGGCCCTTGAGGACCTTTCTTCTCAATGGAGGGAGATAGCAAGGGATATTTATGATGAATTGGCGGCGGCTTTGGAACAGCAGGCATCTGTGGATCTGAAGCGAATGCGCTCCAAGCTTCAGGTCTCTTTGGGCGTATCCTGGGTTGACCTGTTTGTTGTCTCTAAGGGAGTCTTGTGGAGCAAATCACATATGGATGAAGCTGCATCTACAGCCGTCAGTCGACATGTTTTAACCACACGTGTTCTGCCAATGGTAGGTGACATTATACTTAACGAGAGCCTGGATGTGGCTGAGGTATTTGAACGTGTTTCTGCTGTCCTGACGCCGGGGCAGCCGAGTATTGTCACACTTCAAAAGGCGTTGCAAGTTTTTCCAGAAAAGCACCGCCGGCCACTTTTGCCCATGATAGAGGCGGCAAATGGCAGGTCTGTCGAGAACTTTATGAGTATTCTTCAGGAACTTTGCACCAGCGGCCAAATCGCGATTTCTTCGTTTTACCAACCAAACAAAAAGCTGGAGAGGGAGGCACTTGCGGCGTTGAAGAAGAGGATGCTGGAGCGAGTCGAAAAGGGCACTTTTGGTACTGATGTCGCCCAAAGTGGAGTTTTATTTGCGTCAATTTGTAGTTTTTTTCTTTACACGCATTTCCATGTCTACGTGGAGCTTCCTGGAAGGGTGGTGGGAAGTGCAGTGGAGCTTATTGCGAGAGAAGCGGCGGAGGTTGGTGGAGTTCTCCAGGAATGTTATCAGCTCATCACGGGTGCAATCAGCGGGAAGGAGCTGAGTACGGAGTCACTTGTGAGACTGGAGGAAGTTCGCAGGATGGCATTGGAAGGAGCGTTAGTTTCGCTGTGAGCATTTTTCAATTTTTAATTTTTGTGTGCGCTTTTGTTGCTGATTCTTTTTTTTTTTTTTTTTTTTTGGTGGTGGCGATTTTGGATGCCGCTGCCGTCGTGTTGCCTCTGTTTGTTGGGTCTACCTGCCTGCAAAGCATTGTTCCTTATCGTTGCTTTTTTGTTCTCGCCTTTTTGTCACCTTCTTTTTTTTACGACTCTTCCTCCTTAGCCATGCGAGACTCTAGGATCGCCCACAACATGTGGCGTGCGCATGTGTCTAGCAGGCAAACAGTGACGGAAATGTACGACGCCCTTGTCCAAAAAGGGCGTTGAGGCATGACCCAAGGCAGAGGGATATGGCGCAGGCATGCACGCCACTTTTAAATCACATCCATTCACTGGAAAGGACGGGTGTGGTTACCAGCAGTTCCGCTTCATCCGTCTCCACTCCTGTTAGTTTTGCTGATGCTATCAGTAATAAACTCCTACGCATGCGCTCTTGGCTCCGAAGTCATGCATTCCCCGACCGGGTGACTCGGGAAGTGGCCATCCAATGGCCAGAAAATGTGGGCGTTGAGCGTAAAACTGGAGTTTACATGTGGGGAAACGTTGGTGTAGGGAAGACTTTGATTTTGGATCTTTTCGAGCTCACCGAAACGCCTGGGTGGACGAAGCGTCGGGCGCATCTTCACTCCTTTATGTCCGATATTGTCATTCGACTGCACAGGGCAGAGGTGGCGGCGCGAAGGACCCGGAAGTTCTCTCCAATCAATTGCGTTGTGGAAGATGTGCTGCGTGAGTCACCAATTCTCTGTCTTGATGAGTTTCAGACATTTGATGTGACGCATGCAGCACTATTAGCAGCTTTTTTTTCTCATGCCCTACCGCGGGGGCTGGTTTTGTTCACGACGAGTAATCGCCCGCCACATGAGTTGACTAGCATCTCAACGGCATTTGAACGCTTCATTCCAGTGTTGTGGCGTCATTGTGATGTGGTTCACTGCGGCGACATCAAGGACTACCGGGAGAACGCGTCGCGTAGTCACCACGATGTTATATTTCTTTACCCAAATACCAAGGAGAACGCGAAGCGGCTCATTCGAAGGGTGGAACGGGGATTCACAGGCAAATGGGCATGGGAACAAGGTGCGACCATCTGGCTGTACGGACGAGAACTTGTCGTGCCAGTCCATTGTGGCGGCGTGGCGCTGTTCGAATTTTCTCACATCTGCGGTCTCCTTGGACCCCCCGATTTCCAGTGCATAGCCAAATCTTTTCACACGGTCATCATCACGAATGTCCCACACATTGCTGGTGTCAGCAGAAACGCCGCGCAGCAGTTTATTATTCTTGTGGATGAGTTGTATCAGTACAATGTAAAGCTACTCTTCACGAGCGAGGTGCCATGGGAGAAAATTGTTGACACTGGGACAGCTGCAGGTGGCGGTGGCACGGACCTCTGCTACAGTGAAGGTGAAGATGAGCGCAGCGGTTATTCGGCCCATTATGAGTTTCGCAACGCAGAGGAAGTATTGAGTTTTCATCGCATTGCCAGTCGATTAAAAGAGATGGGCTGCCAACACTATTTGCTGCGGGACCACAGTCATTTCGTGATATCGGACTACAATATTGCGTCCTTGTTGGAGTGAGCAAGAGGAGAACCCTCTTTTTCCTTCCAAAAAGAGGGATCAGAAATCGTGCTCTTGTATATAATTAGTTTTTCTCCCCCTGGTGATACTTTTTTTTTTTTTTTTTCTTTGAGAGGATGCGCGGTGCATGGCGGGTTTACTCTTCTTTCCTTCCACTGTGGAGTGATCATCATCGTCATTATATATATATAATATATGTATATATATATTGTTGTTTTTTCTTTTTTGCCTTCCCCTTTCTTCTTTTTTTGTCATTGCCGTATCCTTGCACCTAACTCCGACAGATAATCTTCACAATTACCACCACGGAGTCGTCTATACCCTCGTGGAGTTACGATGATGTTTATTACCGAGCGCTGACAGACGGGGGGAATTACTGCATCAAGACCAATCCACTAAAGGGGAAGGGATTGTTCTCGACGCGAAGGTTAAATGAGGGGGATGTTGTGCACGAGGAAACGGCCTTATGCTGCTCACAGAATCTGGATGACGTGCTGGGCGGGATTCCCGCTTGCGGAAACTGTCTTTTGTCACTTGAGAGTTCACGGCGTTGTGTGGCGCGGGTAACTGGAAGCAAGACCCTGGCGATGAAGTTGCCGTACGCCAAGTTGGAAAAACATTCCCGACCGGTGAGATGTGTCCATGCGGAGTATGGCTGCACGATGCTCTTCTGCTCTGTGCGGTGTCGGCAAGCGGGCTGGTCACGATTCCATTTTGCTGGCTGCCCCGGGGCTATGATGAGTGATCAGCGGGATGCATACGACGAATTTATTCACCATGATTGGGAATACAGGGGGGTGGACTACAGCGACACCGTCTTTCTTGCCTTCCGCTTTGTCTGCATGGCTGTGACGAACATACGCCTACACCGTCAGTCGCTGGAGTTGGCATATAGGCCGATTGCGCAGCTAATCAAAGCACCGTTGTCCTTTTTCCACTTCACTTACCTTTTTTACAGAGAGGAGGCAGACAGCACGGAAAAAAAGGGAAGAGGAGAAAAGCAGATAGAGAAGTTGCGGCTCATTCGCTGGGAGGCTTTTCGAAAATTCCGTGCGACTCACATGTCAACGACAGAGAATGACACCACGGACGACTTCCTTGCGACGGGGATGACGCTTTTAGGACGTATCCTACGTTTCACGCAGGAAGAATGTACTCTCTTTACAGTAGCACGGTGGTCTGAGCTTCTCGGAGCCGTGCTGCTTAACGGACAGGAGCGTAGCCCACCGTCTAATTACGATCGACTGAAGGAACTTGTGCGGCGCCTACCATGTGGGGAATCCACCATGGACGCGTTTGAGCAGGAAGTGCAGATGGCAGGCAACGAATTGCAGCATTTGCGTCAAAGCTCGCGGGGTCAAGGTGTATACACCGTTGGATGTCTCTTCAACCACTCGTGTGAGCCGAACCTGCAAGTGGTCTACAGTGAATCTGGTGATGAGACGCTGTCGGTTGTAGCCCTCCGCGATATTGAGCCAGGGGAGGAGTTGTGCATCAGCTACATCGATGAGTCCCTGTCTTATCCCGAACGTCAACAGGAACTGTACGAGCACTACCTTTTCTTCTGCCAGTGTCCGAAATGTGAGCGCGAGGCGGCCGCCTGGGAGCCCATCGAACCGTGTGAGGAAGTCTTATCTTCTGCATACACCTTTTCTCAATTATACTGAAAAGCACCTCATAAAAGCAGGACATTGTGACTCGATTTTTTTTTTTTTTTTTTTTTGCTTTTAGTCCTCTGTTTATTTCTTTGTTTCTTTTTTTCTTTGTTTCATCCATCGGGTTTCTGCTTACCGAGAAAAGTGCTCTGCTGTTCTCAGCCTAGTGTGTTGGTGTATGCTTGTGCCGTTTTTTCCAATTTTTTTTTTTTTTTTTTTTTTTGCTTTCTTTGGCGGGTGCTCGCCGCAAGCGTGGAAGGACTGAAAGCAACACTTTAGTAGGATATAGGTATTTGTTTAATTTATTTTTCATTTTTTTATTATTTTAAATTTTTCCTTATTATTACATGCGTCTTCAGAGGGTACGGGGCGCGAGCTTCAAGGAGGAGTACACATACGCGGTGTTTCGTCGTCCACGTCTCGAGGCAGCGATGCGGGAGACGGTGGCGACTCGAACACTTCTCGCACCAAAGGCCAGTACGCTGGCGGACCGGATAACTGTTGTTTTGGACCTTGATGAAACGCTTGTGTATGCGCGTGAGGGACCGCTTTATGTGCGTCCCGGCATAGAAGAGCTTTTCCAGTTTTTGGAGGAGAATTGTGAGTCGGTAGTCTGGACAGCAGGTATGAAGCAGTACGCGGAGGCGGTTGTCCGACTTATTGACACCAACGGCAGTGTGCACCATACAATTTATCGCGACAGCACGTGGTTTAGAGGAAGATCCTGTCGCAAAGATCTGACCCTATTGGGTAGAGACACGGAGACGACAATTGTGTTTGAGAACACACCCGACTGCATCCGCGGATTTGAGCAAAATGGGGTTCTTGTGGCAGACTACGAGGGTGGCGAGCTGGAGGACCATACATTGTACACCATCCTCGGGCTCTTGAAGGACCTGGTGCGGCGCAGGAAAGAGGAACACATCACCGTGCCGGAGTACATCCGCAGCTCGAGCCTTCTTGACCTGCGGGTGGTTCCAACCGACAATGGGGACGAGATGTCGTGTTACTGTCTGAATGCATGTTTTCCTGAGCTAGAGGGAAGAAAGTGTACGCCCGTGCGAATTCACAAGATTCTTTGCCGCACTGGCGACCGTCGCAATATCGCGGTTCACTAAAGGAGTGGGGTCAATTAGGTGAGGAGAGAAGATGATGTTGCGAGGGAGAAGAATTCAGCGGGTTACGTGAAAAGAAGCAATGCGCTTTCACTCAGTCGAACATGTGATTTTTTCTTTTTTTTTCTTTTTTTTTTTTTTTTTTTGTTTGAGTTTGAGCGTTTTTTTTTTTTTTTTTTCGTATTTTTTGCCGTTTTTGTTGTTGTTGTTTTTTCCATTTTTAATGTTTGTCTTTGATTTCTTGCATTTAGAGCCTTTTTTTTTCTGCACCTCGGCGCCTGCCGTGTGTTTCTCGAGTCTCCCACCCGCATGTTGCGTGTTTTTTTGTGTTTTTTTCGTTGTTGTTTTTTTTGTGTGTGGGAAGCGGGCGAACGTCGGCTTGCTTTGTGCAGCGGCATTAAAAAAAAAAAATTTTTTTTTTTCCCCCTTCTGTTTGTTGGTTTTGCGTTCCCCACTGTTGAGTGTTTTTCTTCGCTTTGCAGGCATCAGGGGCATCACTGTTGTAATTCTTGAGAGTGCCCGCGACTTCCCGCCCTGCAGCAAATAAATAAACGGATCAAAAAAATTGCTCTCGCCTTTTTTTTTTGTTTTTTGGTTTGCTTGTTGTTGTTTTTTTTTCTTTTGTTTTTTGAGAACGTTTTGTCTCTCTCTCTCTCTCTCCTGCTTCGTGTTGGTGTATTGTTCTGTGCGCGTAGGTGTGCCTTGTTGTAGAACCGCCTTGCACGTGTGCGCATGCAATTCAGGAATTTTTTTTATTAGTTATTTATTTATTTTTAACCTTTTTTTTATTTTGCAGTGATTTCTCCCCCGTCTTGTTTTTTGGTTTTTTGTTGTTGCTTTTTTTTTTCTCTTCTTTTTTTGGGGGGGTTGTTTTTTCGCCATTTATCGGGTTTTCTCCTCCTTGGGGTTCATTTGGCGTGCCGCCAGCGGCGGGGGCGTAGTGGCAAGCGCTGGTGGCGCTGCACATGCAAAAGGCCTCCAGTTCTTCCCCCGCCGCACCTTTTTTCTTTTTTTCCTTTTCACCAGGGAGGGGGGACTGGAAGGCAACGTGCAAACGAAGTTGTCTTTTTTTTCTTTTTTTTAATATATAAATATAAAATAATATATATTTATATATTATTTTATTTTATATGCGGGAAATAAAACGAAATTTCACGCAAAGGAAGCGGCAAAAGCAGAACAACAACAATGAAAAAAAAAAAAAAAACGGTGAATTTTATCCCAAATTGATAAATAAGTGTATATCTATCGTCCGGGGGCGGGCGCAAACCCCTTTTTTTTTTTTTCCTTTTCCGGGGAGGGGGGGGAGGCAAGAAAAGAATTTTTTTTTTATATAAATATATAAATATATTTATTTTATTTATTTTTATATATATATGCGTATATGTATGCATATATCTTTTTTCAATACGATTGTTGCACAGTGCTCCAATTTCTTGGTGGTTTCTTAGGCAGAGACACATGTACACATATACAATTGCGTGTTCTTTGTTTTCCCTGCTTGTATTTGTGCGAATTTGGAGCAGCGGACATCTCTCTGCTGTGCTGAACCTTTTTTTTTTCTGTTTTTCCTGTTGCCGCGAACAATTCTCAGCTTCGCACGAACACACGACATGCATATATAAATATTTATGTATTTACGCTTTTCTTTTTTTTTCTTTTGCGTCCCGCTCACGACTTTTCTTGACGTTGGAACACACGCACGGCAGCTGAAGAAAAAAGGGGGAATAAAGGCAGTAGAAAAAACAGGCGAAATTACCGGCACTGGAACCCTATTGTTCTTAAGAAAGGGGGATGGATGCCGTATTGCGAAAGGTGCAGGAGAAAATCCAGCAGAACTTTCGTCGCGGTGGAAAAGGATCGAGATTCTTCAGCACCGCAAGGCGCGGCGAAGGCGTGGAGCTGCACGAGGACCTCAACAGCAACGACAGGGAGAGGCAGAAGAATGCCGTGAAACGCATCATCGCTGGCATGACGATGGGCCGTGATGTCGGTTTTCTCTTCATGGATGTTGTGAAGCTCGGCCAGACACCAAACCTTGAGCTCAAGAAGTTGGTTTACCTCTACGTCCTAAACACAGCCAAGCTGCAGCCGGACAAAGCCCTCATGGTGGTCAACACCTTCCTGCAGGACACAACCAACAGCTCCCCCATTGTACGTGCGCTTGCGGTGCGCACGATGCTGTGCATTCGTGTGGAGGCAGTAACCGAATACACCCTAGAGCCTCTCCGACGCGCAGTCACGGACCCTGACCCCTACGTTCGTAAGACCGCAGCCATCGCCCTTGGAAAGTTGTTTCATCAAAACATGCAGCTTTTTATGGATCAGGGGTTCGGTGAGGAGCTTTTGAAGCTGCTGAATGACGTGTTCGCCGTTGTCTCCGCCAACGCAGCGGCTGTTCTAACGGAAGTGAACAGCTGCAGTCCAACCCCCATTTTGCCAACCGGTGATTACATCAACCGCCTGCTCCATCACCTACCAGAGTGTACAGAGTGGGGTCAGTTGTCCATTTTAGAAGCCATTGCCGACGCAAAGCCAAAGGACGCAGGGGCGGCGGAGGACATCATCACCCGAGTGCTACCGCGACTTAGCCACAGCAATCCTTCTGTTGTGATGGGAGCTATCAAAGTCATCGTGAATCTTGCCAACCGATGCAATGCAGTGGCAGTGAGTCATTACAGCGCAAGGGTGAATTCCGCCCTTGTAACACTTTCGAGGGGAGATCCAGAGACGCAGTACGTTGTGTGCAAGAATATTCACGCTATTTTGGTGATATTCCCCAATTTAATTTGCAACAGTCTTGACTCTTTCTACGTCCGCTTTACAGACCCGCCCTATGTTAAGCTGGAAAAACTGCGACTTTTGCTGAAACTTGTCACACCCTCTACGGCGTGCCAGATATTGAAGGAGTTGGAGGAGTACAGCTCCGAAGTGGATTTGGTTTTCGCAGAAGAAGTTGTGAAAGGCATTGCTACAGTTGCGTTGAAAATTGAGTCGGTTGCCCCAAGTTGTGTGGAGTTGCTGCTACGCATTGTTGGCAGGCGGCCGGAACTGTTGCCGCAGGTGATTACAAGCTGTAAGAACATTGTTCGCAAGTATCCGGAACAACTCGTCCTGGAGACTCTTATTATTGAGCACGGCGCCGATGCTGTCGCTGAGGAAGATGCGAAGGTGTCACTCATCTGGATGCTGGGCGAGTTTTGTGACTTTATTTCGGATGGAAAGTCTATCATTACACGCTTCATCGATGAGTTGATGTCACACGAGCAACCGGTGCAAATGGCAATTCTTAGCGCCGTTATTAAAATGTTCTTGCGTGACCCTGTGGGGATGGAGCAGACACTCAATGTTGTGCTGGACACCTTGACGACACGAAGCAACGACCCCGACCTTCGTGATCGCGCCTACGCCTATTGGCGGCTTCTCTCAAAGGGTGTTGGAGTGGCGAAGATGAAGCAGATTGTGCATGGCCACCAGGTCCCCATCACCGTGGAGTCCACATTCAGCGATGCCATGACCATGGCGGACCTCAAGAAGTCTATCAACACAGCGGCCGTAGTTTTTGGTAAACCGTTCCAATCCTTTCTTCCGCCGTATGGTCTTGTCAACGAGGAAGCCAGTGAAGAGGAAGAGGAAGAGGTGGAAGAAACCAGCGCCGTGTCTCCGGCGGCCGTTGCCTCTCCTACTTCAACCACTTTGCCGGAATATCCCGCCCTAGAAGACAACGGCCCTCCTGTTGTGAAGCATGTGGATCCACTAAAGGAATTCTTTGGCGGGCTACCTGTCACCACCACCGCTGCGCAAGAGAGTCAGACAAAAGAACAAAAACAGCAAAAGGGAGGATTATCATTAAATCCTTTGGATTGTTTTGGTGAACAACGACAACAACAACAACAACAACAAAATCAGCAGCCTCCGCTTCCACCGCTAGTACTCCCAGCAGGAAGTGTTGATGTGGCCATTCACGGCCAGCTGTCGGAGGGACCCGCGCTGTGGATCGCCCTGGTGAATCATCAGGCCGTGGCAATTGAGCAAATAGTGCTGCAGATAAATTTGAACATGCTGGGATACCTTCCCGGAGTTGCTATTTCTGAATTTATGGCTTCCGTGCCTGCTGGCGAAACACGATCAGTGAAATTGCCGCTGAGGGTATCTCAAGGGCACTTTGACGTGGCGCGTCCAGTACTGGAGGTTGGCCTTAAGGGAAGGAACTTACCACTACTTTTATTCCATTTGGAGGTGCCGGCGGATAAAATTTTGGTGCATTCCAGTCCAATAGAAAAGTCGGCCTTTGTGGCTGATTGGCAGGCGCTGAATTCTTCGGTGGAGGTTAAAGAGCCGCTCGGCGAATTCGGGGAAAATATGCTTGCTTCGCCAGATCGCCGCGGCATTCTCGAGCAAAATCATGTCTTTCTCCTAACTCCAGAGCGTGATTCGGGAGACATTATTTCATATTACGGCAAAGTGACCACTACGCTTGGGCTGCATGGATTAGTTGAGATTCTTCTTGACAAGAAAAGGCCTTTGCAAAGTTACGTTTGTGTCAAGAGTCAACATGTGGGTTCCATCATGCCAATTTTTCTCAAGGTGATTCAGAGTGCCTTTCCGAAGAAGACGGTGGCCAGCGTGGGCGCGACGGCGGGGGGGACGCTCAGTGATTGTGACGCGGTACTGGACCAGTGGTTTGCCTGAAATGAATAGCACCAGCAGAAGCAAATTTTGGTAGAGCGAGAAAAAAGGTTGGGGGAGGACGAAACCCGTAGGATTTGTTTTTAGTACGTTAACTCCATATAACGGATGGTGGCGTCTGGGGGTGTTTTGTGGGAGGAGATGGGCCTTGACCGCCGTCTGCTTTTTCTCATTGCTTTTTCATTTTGTTTTTCCCCGCGCCCTTTTTTCCGTCTGCAGGCACTGAAACTCATGGGTTCATATGCAGCAGAGAAAAACCAACAAATTGTTCTACCCCGTAGCTTTTCTTCATTTTTTTCTGGGTGAAGATAACGAGCGTAGGATGTTCCGTCGTCTTTCCACAAGCACATTGGCTGCCGCTGCGGTCCGCTTCTACACTCCATCGGAGAGTCTCAAGAAGCTTTACACCAGCGATTTTGACAAAACTGAATTCCCGCTGAGCATCGTGCCCAGCGATAGCGTTCTTTTCGCCAAGTTTCTCTACAAGGCGGCTGAACCGAACAACAGCTTTGATGCGATCTTGAAGGACTTTCAAACAATCGCCGCCGCCTCCAGCAGCCTACCCATCTTCTGGGAGCGCACGGCGGTTGTTGAGGATGTTGCCGAGTTCAAGAAACTTTCAGAGCCCATGTTTTTTACACTGGTTTGGATGCAGAAAAATGGCATGTTAGACCTCATCCCGGAAGTGTCGGAGATTTATGAGACGTACGTCAACGCCAAAATGAAAAGAATTGTGGCAAAAATTTATGTGGCCCCAGGAAAGGAGGGCGAGGTGGGGGAGGCCAAGCGAGTGGCACAGGAGTTACACAAGGAGGCGAAGGAACTTGACGGTTATACGCTTGTCTTCAAGACGGTGGTGGATCGCTCCATTGTAACGGGTTTTGCGGTGGAACTTGCCGGGCAGTACGTGAACCGTGCTGAGGGCCACAAGAGTCACGCGCCCGCTGCGGATGAGGCGGATTACACAACCATTCCAGCACCAAGGCTTCCAAAGACGGTGTGGGAAGATAACATTGAAACCGAGGTGCTGTGCCGGTACCTTGAAAGCCTTGCCGAGTACGACGCGGAAGAGGCAAAACACGGGGTTTGAGTAGTAGAACTCAAATGCAGGAGGGAGAGCGGAGAGGTTGCAAGGTATTTCAAAATAGGCTTATGATGTATACATGTGAGGAGAGAAAAAAAGAAAAACAGGGGGAAATTCTCTTTTTTTTATCCCGTTTTCTACTTTTCTTTTCCCCTTTTTCTTTTCCCTCTCTCCCGAGTTTGTGGGTGTGGCAGAGAGGAGGCGCATTGTGTGCGAGGCGTGGTCTGGGTAGGCAATTGTAGCAGAGATGAGGTGGAAAAGAGACGGAGAGGGAGGACAAAAATAAAGGTAGCAGCAGCATTATTATTATTTTCTTTTTTTTTTTTTTCAGTTGCACCCTTTTACTACATCGCCACTGATTTTGTGTGTGCGTGCACATTTCCCCCACAACGTGCCCTTTTTGTTTTTATTGTTGTTTTGTATTGTTGCGCGATGACGATGGATTTTATGGGCCTTTTTTTCTCTCTCTTTTTTTTTTTTTTACTTTTTCTCTTTGGGTGGCAGAAGAGTCCAAACGCGTTTCAGACAAACAAAAAGCAACAGAAAGCAAATTGCTTCTTGATTATTATTATTTTTTAATATTATTATTACGTGTTGGTTAAGTAAGACCAACGCCACATACTGGAAGAGAGATGAGGGTTATCCTTGACGGCTGCTCCTTGACGCCCGATGTACTGTACGCTTTGGGCTACGAGAAGGGCGCCACCATCGAAATTTCGGACGAGGCGGTTGCAAGAATTACCGCTGCTCGCGCCGTTATTGATAAAATTGTCAATGATCGTCAAACCGTTTACGGCATTAACACCGGCTTTGGTAAATTTGAATCAACAATTATCCCGCCGCATCAACTGGAGGAACTACAGTTGAACCTCATCCGGTCACACAGCGCGTGCGTGGGTGAGCCCCTGACACCCGAGCGTGCCCGCATGATGCTGGCTCTCCGTGTCAATGTCCTTTGCAAGGGCCACAGTGGCATTCGCTTGGAAACGGTTCAAAAATACGTCAAGGCTTTTAATGCCGGTGTGGTTCCTTACATTCCAGAACAGGGAACTGTTGGTGCAAGCGGCGATCTCGGTCCGCTCTCACACCTGGCCCTTGGAATGCTTGGCGAGGGACTTCTTGCGACTCTCAATAATAAAAAATTCCGTGATGCTGGGAGTGTTTTGCGAGAGTTGGGCGTTGAGCCTATCACATTGGCTGCGAAGGAGGGATTGGCACTCATTAACGGAACGCAGTTCATTTCGGCCCTTGGCGCAGAAGCCGTCGTGCGAGCTCGAAAAATTGCTCGGCTTGCGGACGTTGCACTCGCCATGTCACATGAAGCTCTACGGGCAACCAACAGCACCCTTAACCCTGATATTCACCGTGTGCGTCCTCACAAGGGCCAACAGCTTGTTGCCCAACGTCTGCGAGCACTCTTGCATAGCGAGGAGTATCCGTCGATGATTAACGAAAGCCATGTCAACTGTGGTCGTGTTCAGGACGCCTACTCTATCCGTTGTGCTCCCCAGGTGCATGGCATATCGAATGAAGTCATTGAGTGGGTATACGGCATCCTTACAACAGAGCTCAATTGTGCTACCGATAACCCTTTGGTGTTCCCAGACGGAGTGAAGAAAGTGGTTTCAGGTGGCAATTTTCATGGTGAGTACCCAGCGAAGGCTCTGGATATGCTTGCCATTGGTGTCCATGAACTTGGGAACATCAGTGAGCGTCGCATAGAACGTCTTAACAATCCGACTTTGAGCCGTCTTCCCGCCTTCTTGGTGAAAAACGGTGGACTTAATTCGGGCTTCATGATTGCCCATTGCACTGCTGCCGCCCTTGTCTCCGAGAACAAGGTCTACTGTCACCCCGCTTCCGCTGACAGCATATCCACCTCCGCTGCTCAAGAAGATCATGTCAGCATGGGAGGTTTTTCCGCACGCAAAGCTATTAAGGTGGTGGAAAATGTTGAGCGTATCATCGCCATTGAACTCCTGGGCGCTTGCCAGGGCATCGATCTCTTGCGGCCACTAAGGACGACAGAGCCCATGGAAAAGGTCTGGAGCCTCGTCCGCAGCGTCAGCCCACCGTGGGAGGAGGACCGTGTCATCAACACCGATATTGACAACGTCACCAAGCTGCTGCGCTCCGGTGCAGTATGGAAAACCGTTAAGCCGTACGTCCCTGAGGAGGCGCGATTCTTGGGCGTCCTAACCGTTAAGAAACCATTTGAGCTGAAATCCAAGATGTGAAAGGCAAACAAACACAATATAAATATTCATCCATCCATATCGATATATATAATATTGGTCAAAAAATTTGACTTTACTGGAGTAGAAGCGTGATTTTCCTGCCTCATTTGCTCTTAGGAAAGTGGCAGAGTCATATGGAAGCTTATTTTTTACAAAACGGTATTTGATTAGAAAAGGAAAAGATAAAACGGGGAATTTTTTTTTTAAGCAAAAAATTTACTACTGAAAGATGCATCCACCGATTGTTTTTTTTTTTTTTTTTTGTTGTTTGTTTGGTTTGTCTTTGGGGCGATACTTTTCGATTATTATTTTTTTAGGACACCTCTCTCTCTCTCTTTTTCTTTCTTTTTTCCTTTTTTTTTTTTTTTTTTTTGTGTTTCAATCTACCTGCCTGCATTTATTTCTCTTTTATTTTCTATTTTTGTGTGTGACTTGTTTACAATTTATTTATTGGTTTGTTGGTTTGACTTTTTGCCCATGCCGCCAAGCCCCAATCCCTAATCTTTCCTTTCATTTTATTATTATTTAAGTATTTTTTGTGACGGTATCGGTCCTGTAACGAGGAAGAGGGAGGAGAGCCGTAGTCAGCCGGCTGGAGAACGTGCGTGGGGCTAGGGTACTGCAGAGAGGGAATTGACGGCAGAACGGCTTTTGCGGTTTTGACTTGTGCCGTTTGTGTGGGTGTGTCTTTTTGTGTGGCTACTTTTATTGTGACGTTCTCCTTCCCGGCTCTCTTTCCTTTCACGTACTCAATTTTTTGCTTCCCCCATAGGTTTGTGCTTATTTGTTAGTCTGTTTAAAGTCCCGATTGGAAATAGCGGAGGGGAAAAAAAGGGGAAGGCCATGCGCAGCGTTTACCCGTTGGCCAGACGCTCGATGGCGGCGTACACGATGCACAACATGACGGTGCCTGAACCCTACGACTACCTCGAAGATCCAGAGAACCCCGAAACAAAGACTTTTGTGAATGAGCAAAATGCGTTTTTTGAGGAATACTTTGCATCCGAGGCCGAGCTCCGCAAAAAAATCTTTGAGAGCATATCTAACTCGCAGGATTATCCCCGCACTTCTAACCCCAGTTATATTAACGGGCACTATTATTACTACCATAACTCTGGCCTGCAGAACCAGAGTGTTTTGATGCGCGCAACGAGTCTCACCGACACCGCCCCGAGTATTTTCCTGGATCCCAACACAATGAGCAGTGACGGTACGACGGCTTTAAAAGCCACCGCCTGGAGTGAAGACGAGTCAATGCTGGCCTACAGTCTCAGCGATAAGGGCAGTGACTGGCAGCGTATCCATGTGAGGCGTGCCGACACCGTGGAAGATACTTCAGATGTGATTGAATGGGCCAAATTTACTACCATTGCATGGTGGCACAACTTGGGTTTCTTTTATACGCGTTACCCGGCGCTTCAAGGTGACGTGGACAAAGGTGCCGAAACAGACGCGGCGCAGGATGCGTTTATCTGCTTTCATCGCATCGGTCGTCCTCAAGACGAAGACGTTGTGATTCTCTCCGTGCCGGAGCACCCACAATGGAACATGGGGGCGAGTGTGTCTGACTGTCACTCCTATGTCATTGTCGTGCTTTTTGACGGTTGCGAGCCACACAACCTGGTGTGGGTTGCTGAACTGCCATCTGTTGAAAAGGGCCTTGGCTCTGAACCCCTGGTTTTCAAAAAGCTGGTAAATGAGTTTGCTGGCAGGTACACCTATCTCGGAAATGAGGGGAGCACATTTTATTTTGTCACAACCCGTGATGCACCGCGAAAAAAAATTGTCTCTATTGACATTCATACGGGCCAAGAAACAGTCATTGTGGAACAGCAACGTTCCGTCCTAAGCCAAGCCGCTCTGGTTAAAAATACACTTCTTCTTGCGTACCTTGAGGATGTGAAGGACGTTTTTTATTATTGCCGACTGGAGGATCCCACATTAAATGCTATTCCACTGCCTATTGGAACGATTACGTCCTTTTTTTCCGATCGCAAAAAGGACTTTGTCTCGTTTAAAATTACGTCATTTCTTCTCCCAGGGCGCAGTTTTTTCTTGGACATAAACGACCCACAATCCTCCCTTCGTGTCTTTAAGGACGACACGGTGGAAGGACTTTTGGTGGATGATTTTGTCACGGAGCAAACGTTTTACAACTCGTCGGATGGGGTGCGAATTCCGATGTTTATTGTCTATCGAAAGGGCAGTGTATCATCGGAATCGCCACTGTTACTTTACGGCTACGGTGGCTTCAATATTCCTTTGACTCCCGCATTCAGCTCCTCACGGATGGTGTTTTTGAGAGACCTTGGTGGTGTGCTTGCGGTACCGAATATCCGTGGGGGCGGTGAATACGGCGAGGAATGGCACGACGCCGGTCGTCGAGTCTGCAAACAGAACTGCTTTACGGACTTTATTGAGGGAGCGAAATTTCTGCACCGCCAAGGCTACGGTTCCCCGCAGACAACAGCTATCATGGGCGGCTCAAACGGTGGACTGTTGGTTGCGGCGGTTGCGAATCAGGCTCCGGAGCTTTTTCGTTGTGTTGTTTGCCAGGTGGGGGTGCTGGACATGTACAAATTTCACAAGTTTACTATTGGGCATGCGTGGAAGTCCGACTATGGTGATCCAGAGAAAGAGGAGGATTTCAGAGTTCTGCAAAAATACAGTCCATTGCACAACATTAAATCTGGCATTAAGTACCCCGCCATTTTGGTGGTGACAGGCGACCACGACGATCGCGTGGTGCCCCTACACTCACTGAAGTATGTGGCGACACTCCAGCACATGAATCCAACCGAGGGTGGGCCTTTCTTGGCACGCATTGAGGTGGCTGCTGGTCACGGTGCAGGCAAACCGACAAGCAAAATATTACGTGAGGCAGGTGATATTTACACCTTTATCGCCAAGAATATCAATGCTTCGTGGAAAGAGTAAATAAGGTGGACTGCTATATTTATTTATTTATTTATTTTAAAGCTGTCATGGGTTTTTGCAGGAACGTGTGGAAAGAATGTTTGCGAAAAAAGCTTGCCAATTGTAAATGAATATATTTTCCGATAAAAAGAATTTATTTCTGTACGATTCTTTTCTATCTTATCATTCTTTGGGAGGCCGCGATGGAAAGAATCAAGGAACCGATAACGGCAAGACGGATTTTTTTTTTCTTTACTTTTTATTTATTTTTACCTTCCACCCTCTTTTAATTCCTCCACCTAGCGGCGGGGTCTTGTGGCTGAAGAACCTGAAAGTCTTTCACTTTTTAAGCAGTATATCTACATATATATATATATCCAGTCCGAATAAGCTGCACTACGTGACAAGAGTGGCTGCCCGAATACACAATTGGAGCAGAAATTAAGGATGTGGCGAACACACGGCCTCCCTACTGCCCCTTTCTTTCCCAAACCATTTTAAAGATGATTTCAGGATCCGGCCAGCAGCCCAGGCGAATATTCTGTGAGTTATAGCACGAGCCATAGAATTGCCTTTTTTTTTGAACTCTTTGAGAAGGCCCATATTTGTGTTGGGAACGAACGATGTGACCCCCCTCCCCTTTTTTTTTTTTTAACTGAGTGGATTATTTTCTTGCTTCTTTTTATTTTCTTTTTTTTTATTGAACGCACACGTTTGCTACCCACAAAGATGACGGCTGAACAATTAGTCACACTAAAGGGGGTTCTTCTCACGGACTTGTGGAATGGGCCACTCGGTGCGGTAAGTCGGACGCGCGATCGGTTGGGTCACATTGACTTTGCCATGGTAGTGCCTCCGCTGCGAGCGTTTGTGTATTGTATGCTCTGTCCTTTTCTCTGTTATCCGATTGCCGCGCTCTATTTGTGGGGGTATTACCGCTGTATGCGGACCATCATCTTCCCCAAGTCGTACAGGCGGGAACGTTACGCCTCGAACGTGATGTACGGCGTCCAGAAGCGTGTGTATGATGCGAGGCAAAGGCGAATACATGAGACGACGGTCGGTGATGCAGATGAAATTAGACATGCCCTTGAGGTCACTAATGGCGCAAGGAACCATTTTGTGGACGATCCAAAGGAAGGTGGTGTCGCGTATTTTGTTGTGGAACAAAAAATTATGAGGCCGGAGGCACTTTTTACAGGAGAAAATTGGGCCTGGGCATTTATATCGGACAGCTGCAGATTTCTCACTCCGGTGTTACTGTCTTACTTGTTTGTTCCCTCTTGCAGACGGCTTGGAATCGACATACGGCTGTGGTTTCAGGGACGTTTGTGTTGGTGGCAGCTGCGTCACCCTGTGCTGAACTTCTTCAAGTCGTACCGGGATTACAACAACGCCGTTAAACGCATCAACATCACAAAGCCCCCACCGAAGGGCAAAGAGCCGTGGACCAAAAATCTTTAGAGTCAATCCCTTGGGTGCATGGCTGGCTGTGTGGGGAAGGTTCACTCAGGTGAGGGACAGAAAAGCTTGAGTACGGAGTCAAAAAGCAATAAAAAAGAAATTGGAGAGAATAACCGTTTACTGTTTCCTTGTTTCTGTATAATTGTTGCTACCTTTTTTCCTTGTTTTTCTTACATTTTTTTTTTTTTTTTTTTTGCATCCTGCTGCGGTTTGATGTTCTTTTGCACGAAGGGGGTAGCTTGCGCAGACACGTTGAACGGATATGCAGGCGGCCGAGAGGTTTGTGTCATCTCTCCTCGCCGCACGAGAGGAAGAGGAGGAGCGGCGGGAAGTGCGCAGGCGGCGGCGCATTGATTTCATCATTGCGGGAAACAAGGAGCGCACGCGCCGTTGCAAGGATAACCTGAGCGTTTTTCTGCAACGGGACGTTCATAGCATGTCGTTGGTCGAGTGCAATTTCTTGGACTCCCTTGGGGATGTAGAGAACTGGTGGGATCTGATCAGCAAGCACATTCTGGAAGAGAAACGAGAGCGCGAAGAGGCTGTGAAGCTACAGAACCACCTAAAATCAATGTATCTTGAAACGACAAAGAGGCGAGAGGAGACGGAGCAGTCATCCGTAGTTGTAAACGATGAGCGTCGGTTGCAAGAGTTGGAAGAGTGGTGTTTGGCGGAAGAACGCCGAACGAGGGAAGAGGTGATTGGAGAAGTCATGCACCGCATTCTCGCAGCTGTGGACGAATGCATAGGGTTCACTGAAAAACACGCTCTTGAAAGCGACAGTTGGAATACGTCATTGGGCAGAATTGCGCTGAACGCTTTTATTCGTAAAATCAACATGAAAACTTGGACGGAGGAAGGACGAGCTCACATTGCCTTCAAGGAAATTTTTAACTGTCATCCATTTCAAATGACATGTGATGCGTTTGTCTATCTCCTCCATGCCATTTACAATAGTCTGGAGCCGGGTCTCCCTCATGTCAACCGTTTTGATCTCTCTCGCAGGCCTTTGTTTCTGATGTATGGACCAAAGTTCAGCGGTAAGACGGTTGTGTCTCGTAATGTCGCCGCTGAACTTTCGCTGTTGTCCCTCTCTGATCGTGACTTGATACAAAAAGCCCTGGAAGCATACCGAAATGAACGAAATGGTTTACCAACGCTCCTGACGGTGGAGGACAGCAATGCCTTACCGGTGTTGTCAGCCTATGAAGAGCGTAACAAGCAGAACGATGAAATTGCATACTACAGCGAGGCACATATTGAGCAGGTTGTCGTTTCTTTTGTGCGGCTCAGTTCATGGGCTGAGGTGGGAAAAACTGTTGAGGAGGCTCTTTTCCGCGGTGAATCGGTGGATCCATTTCTCATCGTGCAGCTGATGCAGCTACAGATGGCCGACACAGAGTTGAATTGTGATGGCATTTTGTTTGATTCGACGGTTAGGGGATTAGAGCAGCTTCGTCTCCTTCAGAGTCCCATTTCAAAGCGTTTCCACCCGTTTGAAGGGGCCCTGCGAGGGTTCCCGGCCTGTATGGAGGAAGTGTCCTTGTCGTCAAAGCTGCTGCTAGTGCAGCGGGAGGGACGGCCCGAAGCGAGCAATACGAAGAGCGAAAATCGATCACGACCGCCAAAGAAAGGAGTTGACCTTAGTGCATTACCGCCGCCGGTGCTGCCAGAAGTGATACGGCTCGAGTTGTCTGAAGAAGAAAAGGAGGCAATAAAACTCTGGGAGCAACAAGGACAGAAGCACTCTCTCTTCCCAGCGGTGGTGCGCATTAACTGTGGGACACACGAAATTTTTTGCCGTTTTGCTGGACTGCGTGTCGATAAAGAGACAAATGAAATTTACCACATGTTGTTTGACCCACCGCCGCCAGACCGTTTGCCGTATGTGGTGAACTTTGATCGTGTGAAGTCTTCCACAGCACAGTTGCACCGTGTTTTGCTTAACGAGCGCCGGAACTGGGAAAAGATGCGGCGCTGGATGATGAGTGAAGGGGATGGCAGTGAGGTATTGCACGAAGTCGATGGAGAAAGACCGTTGGAAAATATCGTATTTGATGTTCGGCATATTCTTCAAGAGGCAAAAAACAATTACGAGGCGGCTCTTCGGCTTTACGACGCTGCAACGGCTGCAAAAAGGAGGGAAGCATACATTGAGGCAAACATTGCTGAGCAAGAGGAAGCGCGGGAGGCTGAACGAAAACGTCTCGTAGCGCTGTATACAGAGTTTGGAGCGTCGATCCCCCCGGAATTAGAGCCCCGGCCACACTGGACGCCGTTTTACAAAATGCCGGATAATCTGCCAGAAGCCTTCATGCGGGTGTTTTTGGCCTTTAGGAAGCACTACGAGAGTGCATACGACTGGTTGGGAACAGCTGTGGAAAAACTTGCCACTGTGATGTTGGGTCACCGCTGCGAGGCGATGGGTGCCTTTCATCGCTTCTGGAATCAACCAGATGAAAAGCAGGAAAAATTGAGTCGGTTCGTGGAAAATTACAACAGAGTGCTGGTCGAGCTTCCGGGACAGACATCATGTAAAGAGGAGCTACACTTGTTGGTGGATCAGCTCAGGGAAGAGCTGTTTCGCACGCTGGACACGAAATGGAGGGAGACCAGCGCAAAGACTGAACAACTGACAAAAAAGGAATTATTTCTGGACCCATGGTGTGTCTCCGTGTGTAATGTTGGCATTGCGGCAGTGCAAGCGGAACTGGAACGATTTCTGCTAACAATAAACTTGGTGGCGATTTACTTTGGTGCCGTCGTGAATGAACCATGTATGTTTGAGGAATTGGACTTGGAGGTCATTGTTTTACGCACCACCGCGGAGAGTGTAATGGAGCAGACGAAAGGGAGGGAGAAAAAGACGCAGAGCACCAAGAAGACACCGCGACTGGAGGAAATTTCCGAAAAGACCTTTGAGGACACGTTTGTGGAAGCCATTGGAAAAATTGTTACTGCCATGGAGAACTTTGTGGAGAAAATTTCCTCCGTCATTGATGCGCCGGTGAGGACGCGTGAGAACACAAAGACGTCTGTCGTGGCGGTAGATAATGTGAGGGTGTTAAGTGTTCTTAACAGGTGTTTTCCCTTCGCCAAGAGCGAACTCGCCAAGGCGCAGGAACGTATTTCATGTATAAAGCAGTTTTTCCTTCAAATTCAACGCGAAGGGGAGGCGTACTGTGCACGCATGAAGGAGGACATGATCTCCTATGCAAGGGAAAAAAATTTCAGCCAGGCTTCAGCGGTCAACACAGCAATTTACATCATTCGCAATGCCATTGAAGAAGAGAAGCCGCTCTCTCCCATGCACTTGGGTCGCGACACGTTTCATACTGCCACTGCAGAAAAGGAAATGCCACGCGCCCAACAGCTTCTTTCACCACAACATCTACAGATGATGGAACCGTCAGACGAGCCAAAGATCCATGCAACTCTTTCCTCTTCGCGATTGGTGGAAATTATTCTGGCATTCCGTTCGGTGGCGCCCGGTTACACACTGGGCCATGCGGAGTTTTTCAACATTGTGCGGCCGGACGATTACGCCGGAGCCACTGCCAGTAATCTTGGCCGTCTTAAAACGCAGGAAGAGGTGTTTACTTCGTTTGATTCCCTTGGCTGTGGATTTATCGACTGGCGAGAATTTGTGGTTCACCTGCTCCTGTGGTGTGCGCCGGCGCCGGAGGTGGGGTCCGACGAAGATGCGGAGAACAATTTTTATTTCCCTGAGTTTTCCGTCGAAAACCTGCTGGAGACCCGGACAGAGCTTGGTCTCGAGGCGGTCACCGAGGATGTCTTTTACGACGTTCCTTTCTTCTTTGATGATTGTTTGAATGACGACCGGCTGGAGGCGTACGTACGCGCGTTGTGGATGACATTCTCAACAGAGGAAGGCCTCCTTGAGCCGCTGGCATTGTTGGCGTTTTTTTGCAGTGACCGACAACCCATTCGCGGTGCGCAAAAGGCGTTCTACGTTTTCTCCCGCGAACAGGATGGCAAGCTGACACCGGAGGAGTTGGATTTTGCCTTTCACGTCCAGGCGACGAATCCCCGTGATATGCGTTTTTTGGATGCATTCTCGCCCGAAAACATTGCAATGCTGTATGATGGTGAGTCATTGCTGGCCTTTCAGTCCGTTTGCGAGCGGGTAATTGGGCGCACCATGCTCAATAACACCAAGGCGTATCAACGCAAGCTTTTTATTACCGACGATATCTATGTAGAGTGAGCAAGATGTGATGGTACGGTAGATGATTTTCAAAATGTACAAAATATGACCAAAATAAATAAATGCACGTATGTGTATTTGTATGTATGTGTGTGTGTGCTTGAGTGGCTTTGAATAGATCATTTCCTCTCGGTTTTTTTTTTTTCCCTCCTTTTCTTTCTTTTTCATGTTGACCGTTGATTGTTTTGCCATTTACATTGAAGCCCCGTTGAGCACCGCATATTCCTATGCCCGAGAACGAAAGCAAGAAAAATGATGGTAATGACGCATACCAAATCACCGTGCTACATCGCTTTGTTGGTGGGACGGTGGGTGGGATGCTACAGGCGCTAAGCTGTCACCCGTTGGATACCGTCAAGTCGCGCATTCAGCGCGGCCTCTATCCTGGCATTTTTTCTTGCTGTCGTCACACATGGGCAAATGAAGGCTTTCGTGGTTTCTATCGCGGGCTGACGCCACCATTCATGATGAGCGGTGTGTACAATTCGATTCTGTTCAGTTTGAACCAGTTCATGACGAATGCGTTGACGCCTGTGGGTTTCGATTCAAAAAGTAAACCTCCTCTTTGGCGGACGGCCTTGGCAGCGTGGTTGACGGCACCCATTTACACACTCTGCATCACACCGATGGAGAATGTAAAGGTGAGACTGCAGTTGCAGCAGAGCGTCCGGACAGAAAGGGATTTCACTGGCCCAATCAGCTGTATTCGCTTCATTTGGGTCACTGAGGGTCCGCGTAGATTCTTTGCGGGTTACCTGCCAACTTTTCTCTCGCGCCTGGTGGGCCTCCCTTTCTATTTTATAGTCTACCAAGTGACAAAGCAGCAGCTGGAGAATTTCCCCATCGTGACAAGCCCCGCAGGGGAAATCTTTGGGGTAATGATTAGTGGATGTTTGGCGGGGTTGCTTTTTTGGACAATTATTTGCCCTTTTGACTACATGAAGACACAACTGCAGTCAGGCGGCGCGAAAAGAAGGTTTCTAGAAGTGGCACTCACAACATACAAGGCAGCTGGGGTGCGGGGGTTCTACAGGGGTCTCCCAGCATGCCTTCTGCGTGCTATTCCTGCCAACGCTACTGTGTGGATGGGCGTCGAATGGACAACGAACATCATGCGGAAGTATGAAATTTGATGTGTTTTTTTTTTTTTTTGCCTTTACTTGGGTTCCCTTATGCTTCATCTTTACATGTTTCTTATGCTAACTTCCTTTTTTTTTTCGTGTGTGTGCGCAATTGGCAGGTACTCGTTGTTGTTTTTTCGGTGAGTGGTGGTGGTGGTGGTGGTATTATATGGTACGAGGCCATATTTGAAGTTTTCTGTGGTGGAACTATTCTCGAAGAGAGTGGTGTCATGAACTATACGCTTATAAATATAAAATAAATACGTCTGGACTGTTTTTTTGTTTTGGACTCAACAAATGCGTTGCAAGCGATCGGCATCTGTCCGTATTTGGTGTAATAAAATACGTGTTATATTTAATGCCACACACACACACACACGCGTGAAACGCTTCTTTTTTATTTATTTTTTTTATTTTATTTTTTATTTTTTAAAGCCTGAAACACGCATACAAATAAAAATTATGAGCCATTCTACTGTGTAATTTGAATATATATATATATATATATATTTCTTCCTTGCTTTGTGCCCTTTTACCTTTGTCCCTTAGTCCTGTACGCTAGCAATGCTGTGGGTAGACAAGTACCGCCCCAAGTCACTGGTTGAAGTGGAACTGTACCCGGAGCTCACAGAAGTGCTGAAGCGTCTTGCTGAGTCTCAAGACCTTCCGCACCTGCTGCTCTACGGCCCGTCAGGCACAGGGAAGAAGACACGCGCCATGGCGGTTCTGCACCATGTCTACGGTCCATCTGTCTATTCGTTGCGACTAGAGCACAGATCGGTGCAGGTAACAGACAGCAAAGTTGTCGATATTGCAACCCTGAGTTCCCCTCATCATATTGACATTAATCCTTCCGACGCTGGCAACTATGATCGTGTGATTGTGATGCAAATGATTCGAGAGATTGCTCAGACAGTCTCATTGCAGTCCAGCACTTCCAATGGTGTAAAGTACAAAGTGGTGCTTCTGAACGAAGTGGATAAAATGGGCCGAGCTGCGCAACACGCGCTTCGACGAACGATGGAAAAATACATGTCGACATGTCGACTGGTTCTTATTTGCAACTCAACCTCGCGTCTTATAGCGCCACTCCGGTCACGCTGTTTGGCGGTTCGTGTCCCATCGCACTCAAAGGAAAATTTAACAAAAGTCATCCGGGGGGTATGTGAGAGAGAAAACCGGCCATTGCCCTCCCCGGAGTTCATGGCTACCGTGACGCAGCGGTCGGAGGGTAACTTGCGCCGCGCCCTGTTGATGGTGGAGGCAGCCGCCATGACAAAAGTGGATTTCTCAGGGAATGGTGCTGACATTCCGCAACCGGACTGGCGGGTATTTCTTGATGAAATCGCCAACGACATTCTCTCGGAGCAGACGCCGAAGAAATTGCATGAAATACGCGGAAAGTTTTACAATCTTCTTGGCCAGTGCGTCTCCGGCGAGTTAATTCTTCGCTTGGTTCTCGAGAAGCTGATGTCTGCGGTCGATCCCGCACTTCGACGGCCTCTTGTCGCTCTTGCGGCGCAGTACGACCACAACATGAAGCTTGGCACGAAGACCATTGTGCACTTGGAGGCGTTTGCTGCCGGTGTCATGCAGCTCCTGAAGCAGAAATAGAGCGAGCATGCATATAGATTTTTTTTTTTAATCATAACATCCCGACTCTCCAAGACACTTGTTTAAATCTTCTGCATGTACCTCAGTGTTTTGTCTGAAACATCTCCGCTCTCGCCTGGCGTACACATAACCGTATTTTGTTGCGACACAATTCATGAAGACTTTCCTATTTATTTATTTATTTTTTTTTTTTTTTGTGGGTAAAAACTTTGCAAAAGTTTGTTGTTTTCATTGTCAACTGTAGCGCCGGTGGAGTGATGCTTCGTCTTTCACAACCCGTGCTTATTGCCCATTGGTTTTGTGGGCATAAATTTCGGCATCGCTTCATGCGGGACAAGCGGTTTCATCCGTCGTTTCAGGCCGCCCACGACGCGCGCAACCGCTTTAGCAGGCGAAGGCACTTTAAAACCAATCGATGGAACTATCAGCAGGCGTACCGGGACATGCCGTGAAGATGTGGGGGAGCGCAGATGTGCTCAGGTGCAAATGGAGGAAGAGGGAGGGTGAGTGTGCGGAACGGAAAAGAAAAAAAAAAGAAACGAAAAAATACGATCTGTTGGACTATGACGATGGATTTCAGTTTGTCTGTGCCGTTTACACTCGGCTCTGTGGATTGCCAATTCATGCGGTGGTGCCGCAGGTGTTTCTTTTGGCCGTTTTTTTTTTTTCCTTTGGTTAGAATGAAGGCGCACGCATCATGTCAGGGAAACGGGGCGGATCTTCGTGACGAACTGGATGCAAGCGTTGAGTGTGGATCCGGTTATATTTGCATCTACGGGCCACCGAGCAGTGGGAAGACAACGTTGCTCTTGAACTACCTCACCGCACGTGAGAAGCATGTCCGCAACATGAAGAGATCCTTCCACTTAGAGTATGTGAGTGGCAAGGCTCTGGAAGGCGATCCGCTGCAACGACTGACCTGGCGACTTCAGCCGCACACAAAGCGCAGGCGGACAGAGTGTTCTCTTCAACAGTTTGGCTGCTTGGTGCGGCAGTGGCTGGAGAGTGCGGAGGAGGGGAGTGAACTACACTTTGTTATGGACGATGCTGACATGTTGGAAGAAGACACAATTCAAATCAATCACTGGCTTTCGGAGTGCCTCACGGTAACCCAAGAGGAGCGTAACCGAAATATTGTCTGCCTTTGGATCGTTTCGCAGATGCCGCTTCATCTTTCCAACTGTTTTCGATTTCATTTCTTGTCGAAACCTGATGCAACCGCTCTTCAGACGTGGTTGAATTCCCTCTTTGCGGCAAATCATGGGTTTTTTGGGGGCGATCTCGATGTCAGCACCCAACACTTCACGTTGGGACAGGCACACACGGCGGTGGTGGACGCAGTTGCGTACTACAAGACACACCTTCCAATGCGCGCGAGCATTGTGGCGCAGGATCTGCGTCAGCTGCTGCAACGCGTCCATCAAATTTTGCCGTTACTTTTGCCACACTACACAAGTGGGCGTCCCAATGCGATGCATCACTCGGCTGCATGGGGGAAGCGACGGGAGTTTAGTGCATTAGGGCACAGCAGTGATCCACTAGTGGCGGCATTGAAGCGAATCGGCTATTCTGCAATGCTGTGGGCTGTGAGCGCCTTTTACTGTGGTGCTGTTCCTATGTCAAAACAGGCCTACGTGTTTGATGATCAGGAGTTGCAGCGTCGTAGGAACTCGACCGGGACAAATAGCACGTCACACAGGGCAGCTGTTTTGTCTTCCTCAGCCCATGTCGTTCATGTGCCACGTCTCATGTTGGTGTATCGGGCTTTACTTAAGATTTGTGTTCATCATATAGATCCACTAGAACTTGCTCCGGCTGAGACGGCAGTGCAGCACCATCATACGTTGGTCTCGTGGGGCTTGTTGGTCTCGTCCTCACAGAATTCCAAGGTTTATCACTGTCATATTCCCGTCACTTCTGCAATCGGTCTCTCTCAGCTGCTTTCGTTGAACCTTTATGATCTTATTCCAAGATGATGGTGCCTTATTATCATCATTATTTTTGATTTTCCATTGTTTCCTGTGTTGTTGTCCTTCACATTGATGACGGCATTGGTGATAAAGCTATGATATTCCATATTCTCTCACTGTATTTGTGTGTCTCGCTCATACCAAGAGAAAATGGAGGAGTGAGTGGCATAAGAGAGATCTTTATCACTGAAAAATACGCTCTCTTTGCTTTTTTTTTTTGTTTGCTTGTTTGCGATAATATATAACCCAATAGTTCACGCTGCTGAGGTTGTGGGGCTTGAATGCCTTTAAGAGGCATGATGTTTGTCCAGCGGCATGAGCGAAGGAGAATGTATTATTGGGTAGGGACATTTGTATGCGTTTTAGGCGTACTTCTCTTGGTCGTTCTTCTACTCAAAAATGTAATGCGTGATCAGAAGGTGGTCCCTTCCTTTATTGGCGGGTATTGCGCTATTTTTGCCACGATACTCTCTCTTTTTCAGATTTTGGAGCATCTTACCTGCTTTTCTGATCCGGAGTGTCAGACAAAGATCGTGCGTATTCTATTTATGGTGCCACTTTACGCAATGATTTCATGGATATGTATACTTGCCCCCAGTGCTGCTGAGTATCTCAACTTAATTCGGGATGCTTACGAGAGCTATGCCATTTATGCCTTTTTTCAGCTGATGATCGCTCTTATGGGGGGCATGGATACGGTTTACCGCGCACTCATGCTGGAGGAAAGGCCGCCCATAACGCATTTTTTTCCATTTTGTTGGATGGAGCCTCTGAAGGTTTCACCGACGTTTGTGCGGAATTGTCGTTTGTGCCTTTTTCAGTTTATGGTGGTGAAGCCGCTTGTGACGGTGGTGGTAATTATTTTAACAGCCAAAGACGAGATGGGCAGCATTCTAGATGTGCGTAAAGGATACTTTTGGACGACGTTAGTCTATAATATATCAATAACTACGGCCTTCACCGCTTTAGTCTACTTTTACACGGGGTTAAAAGAGTTTATGGAGGGAACAGATGCTTTTATGAAGTTTTTGTGCGTAAAAGTAGTTATATTTTTATCGTTTTGGCAGGGCATACTCATCCAACTTCTTTCCGCCACACATCTTCTGCCAAGCTTCCAGTATTGGTCAAAGGACCGCGTGCCACAGGGATTGCAAGACCTTTTGATTTGTATTGAAATGATGTTCGTATCATTTGCACATCGGTACTGCTTCGGAAGTGACTCCTACGCCTCAGACGTCATTGTGGGGCCGGAGAACGGCGCCGACGATGTCGAGGATACGGCCGTAGTTTTCCCACACCGAAATATTCCACCGATTCGGTACAGCGTGTCGGCAAACCTCAGATATACGCTGAAGCATGAAGATATTATGCACGATTTAAAGGCTATCATGCAAAATCGCTGAGGACACACCGAAGGGATGAACGGAAAGGGGGTGGAGACGTATGGCGCACGATAAAATAACGAATGCCCAAAGAGAAACAAAAAAAAAAAAAAAAAAAAACGGCAGTTTTGTTAAATGGGGGACGAATATTTTTTTAGTCTCCAGTGGTGCTGTTTGCCCAAGTTGGGCGGATTCATTGACGCGGTTGCCACGTTATGTTCACTTATTCGATCCCCCTTTTTTTTTTCTTTATGTCCCTGCTGCTCAGCCCCTTCAGCCTCTTTTTTTTTTTTTTGTTTTCTTTTTGTTTGTTTGTGTTTCTGGTCGTCTTCGCCGCGTTCTTTTTTGTTCTTTGAATCGTTCTTGGCGCAACAAGACTGGGAACACAAGAGGGGACATGCGATGCCTCCAAAAAAGAAGGCGACAGATGCACAGGTGGTAGATGACAAGAGGCAGCAATTGGACTGCTTGAGGCGGCAGTGCCAAGCGGTGGAGCAGTTGATTATGCTGAGCAACGAGGAGAAGCGCCAATTGGAACACGAGAAAACTGTTCTAAAGAAGAAACTGGCGGAGTTGCAGGAGCAGTGCGAGACCACAGAAAAAAAAATGGAGGATCAGCTTCGCACCATGCAACATTTGACTGTAACGTGCGACGAGCAGCTCTGGCACCGGCTCAAGAGCCTTGAGAGTAAAGTGGCGGATGCGGAGGAAGGCAACGCAGCACTGCGCCTGAAGATTGAGGAAACAACACGAAACAGGTTGGAGGAGTTGCAACGACTGAAGGACGGTGTTGCGGAACTCCGACAACAACTGGAGTCCAAGGCACTGGCGTGCGGGGTGCAGCTGCGTGATTTCCTGCTCACGCAGTCCTAGCCATTTGAAGGCTGATGTTGAAAACAATACGCAGAGTCAAAAGAAAAAAAAACACGCACATGCAAAAGGATGGCGTTGACTGGAGCAGGGTGTGAGTTCGTGTAACGGAGTGGGCGATTGATGTAATGCTTTTTTGGGTTTCCGTGTAAGAATGAGGCCCCAATGTTCCTGTCTTCTTTTTTTTTTTTTTTTTTAATCTGGAAGTTATTGTGTATACTTCTCATTCTCTGTCCCTCTGTGTGGCATATACGTGCATATATTATGCGTGGATTGCGGAGGTGTTAGGCAAGTTTGTGAGTGACTATCGCAGCACCAATTTGACTGTGGAGGCAACGCGAAATAAAAGGGAAAATCGAAGAAATGGAGCGACGTTTGGGCGCGGTGGAGCTTAGTAAGTACAATGGTAGGGACGAGGCGCCCATTTACATCTCCGTCAAGGGAGTCGTCTACGACTGTTCCGCCGCCGCCGAATTTTACGGCCCTGGCGCCTCGTATCACGTCTTTGCCGGCAAGGAGGTATCGCGGTGTCTGGCGAAGATGTTAATCAGCGACGAGGAGGCGAACGCAGGTTGGTGCAACCTCACGGAGGAGCACCGCGAGGCTCTTGATGAATGGTCCGCGAAGTACAATGAAAAATATCCGGTTGTTGGTCGCTTTCTTCCTGACGACCAGTTCGAGGAGCGAGGAGCGGCGATGGAGCCATGAGGGACGATGGCGCGAAACAAATTTTTCAAGAGACGAGAAAAGACAATCCAGGCAGCGGGAGAGCACATGGAGTGAATAGCCTTTTTTACGTGAGGCCTGGGAAGGCGATTAACGTCCACAGCCCATTCGTTTCCCCCCTTTTCATTTTTCTGCGATTATTGTTATTGGCTTTTGGGGGAGGTTAGGGGTTTATGCGTCTCTGTGGTTTTGTTGTTCTTTATTTTTATTTCTGTTTTTTTTTTCTTTTTGTGGTCGTTTACTTCGCTTTTGACATGAGGGATATTAGTAATTTGCCAACGGAAGACGAGTCAAGTTTTTTATGAAACGGCGCATCCACGGATGTTTTTTTTTCTTTTTTTTTTTTTTTTTTTGTCGTTTTTTTTTTTTTCCGGAATGCAGTGATGCCCATTTGTACCGCGTCGCTTCATTTGTTTTTTTTTTTTTTTTACGACCTTTTCATTGAAAAAAGAAAAAAAAAAAGAAGAACGGGCGCTGCAGAGACAAAAGCCTCCATTTGAGTATCTTGAGAGGAGGATGGATTAGGAAAGAGAGGAGGAGAGGAGGGGGGAGAGGGGAAGGAATAGGAAAAGAAGAGTCTATGGTCTCTGTGGCCCTCTGTGTGCGTGTTGTTGTTCCCTCTCTCTCTCACTCCCACTCTTTTTTGTTGTTGTTGTTATTAACACGTGCTTCTTTTATTTGATTGACGTAATGGACAACGTACACGAGGACAGTACCCAACGGTAGGGGGGATTTATAAGCGATGTTATGACGCTTATGCAATATTTGTTATTGGGAAGAACGAAGGCCATCAGAACTTCAATCTTCAGTAATATTATTACTATTATTATTATTTTTACCATTCATTTTATGAGTGAGCGAATAGGGCTTGAGACTCTTTTGGGAAACGACAATAAATGAGCACCAGAAAGAGGAGAAAACAGGATTTGTATCTCGTTTTTTTTTCCCCCCCTTTTATTTATTTATTTATTTTTTTTCTCCCTTCTTCTATATATATATATATCGTACATTTGTGCTCTGCACGGCTACTTTTAACAAAGTTTAATATCCCTACGCGCGTGCAGTTCATAAACGGGAAGCTGCGGGATGTCGGAGGTGACGGACAAGACAGTGGAGTTTTTGCTGCGCCACAGTGCCTCGCGTCGGCCACCGGACATTGGCTCACTTAAAGAAAAAGCATTTGAGCGTGTCAACTGGCGCGACGCATTTGATAGGTTCCAAGAGACTGAGCGGCTGACGCTCTGGGAGACGAAGAGTGAGCTAGATGGCGTTGATGAGGGCGCGTATCGTGTCGCCCGTGACGCTTTATTTCCTTTTGCCGTGAGCGGAAGCCAAGGCGCTGTTTCCTTTGGAAACCGTGCCGGCCACAAACTCCGCGAGGTGATGGAGGCGACCGGCGTTTGGGAGCACCTCCAGCGAGAGACAAGTGGACAGAAGGGTGCTGTTGTCTTTGCGGATGTGTGCGGTGGACCAGGTGCCTTCTCACAGGCTCTCTTTGAGATGAGCCGGCAGTATAAGCTGAGGATGCGGGGATTTGGTATGACGCTGCGCAACGTGAGGGGACTTGACTGGTACTCCAGTCTTCCGCTGGGGAAGTTTCTGCCCACATACGGCATTGATGGTACAGGGGATATCTTTAATTTGGCAAACATTGAAGCACTTCTTTCTTTAACTATTAGAGAAAGGCTGAAGCTTGTCGTGGCGGATGGTGGCTTTAACGTCCCTTTCAATATTGCGAACTACCAGGAGACCCTGTCGGGCAGGATTCTCTTCGGACAGTGGTTGGCGGCGTTGAAGCTTCTCAGGCCAGGAGGCTGTTTTATTTTGAAACTATTTGACACATTTTCTCCGCTTTCACGAGCTCTTCTCTATCTTTCCACTTATCTTTATGACCGCGTTCATGTAGTTAAACCTCGTCACAGCCGTGTTGTGAATAGCGAGAGATATTTGGTGTGTCTTGGCTTTCTCGGCACCCCGGGGCCATGGATGGAGTATTTCGAGCACTGCTATCAAGTCGGCTTTAGTGACAATGACTCCATTCCAAAAATTATGCCCACCTCATGGGTAATGGAGGACAAGACATTTATGAAGGATCTGAAACAGATGAACAGCACAATTGCGTCGAACCAAACGTTGGCCCTGAAAATGGTTCTGGCAAAGTTGCAGCCTTCTTGATTTACGTAAAACCCTGAGGAGCAATCGGTCACTTAATTGGGGGTGCATTGATTGTGCGGGTGGTGCGAGAGTACGGGAGGAGAAGTTTACAAAAAAAACAAAGGGACGCTTATGAAGAAAAAAGATATTCACGTGTAAATGTTGTTTGGGTACCTGTGCATGACGGTCTTTGTTGTTGTTCTTGTTTTGCCACGCAAGTAAGACGAATTTAGTGTCTTTATTTTATCCTTTAAGTATTGATATCATTCATGTCAGCGCTTTCTCTTCAGCTTCATACCGCACTCCCCCGACGCAAGTTGCTGCTTGTGGTTATGGACGGTGTCGGTATTGGTCCTGGCGATGAGTACGACGCGGTCCACGTTGCCAAAACGCCCTTTATTGACTCGATGTGCGCCGACGCAAAGCACTTTCGTTCCGTCTGCGCTCATGGCACTGCAGTGGGGCTCCCCACAGACGCGGATATGGGGAACAGTGAGGTGGGGCACAACGCACTTGGTTCAGGCCGTGTTGTGTTGCAGGGAGCCTCCCTTGTTGACGATGCCATCAAAACTGGTGAGATTTTTACCAGCGATGGCTACCGTTACCTTCACGGCGCCTTCTCGCAGCCAGGTCGCACCCTTCACTTGATTGGCTTGCTAAGTGACGGCGGTGTTCACTCCCGCGACAACCAGCTCTATGAGATCATCAACCATGCCAGTTCGAATGGAGCGAAGCGTATTCGTCTGCATGTCCTCTATGATGGCCGTGATGTGCCTGATAAGAGTTCATTCAAATTCACTGACGATCTGGAATCTGTCCTTGAAAAGGCTCGTGCAAAGGGTTGTGATGCCCGCATTGCAAGCGGTGGTGGTCGCATGTTTGTCACGATGGATCGTTACGAGGCAGACTGGTCTGTAGTCGAGCGTGGCTGGAGGGCGCAAGTGTTGGGTGAGGCAAGGGCCTTCGCTTCTGCTGGTGAGGCCATCAAAACATTCCGCAAAGAGGACCCAAATGTTTCGGATCAGTACTATCCACCTTTCATCATCAGCGACGTGGACGGCAAAGCCATTGGCCCTATTGAGGATGGCGATGCTGTGCTTTGCTTTAACTTCCGTGGCGATCGTGTCATTGAGATGTCCCGTGCCTTTGAGGAAGAGGATTTTGATAAATTCAACCGTGTTCGTGTTCCCAAGGTGCGCTACGCTGGCATGATGCGATACGACGGCGATCTGGGTATTCCTAATAATTTTTTGGTGCCGCCACCCAGGCTTTCTCGGACGAGCGAGGAATATCTCGTTGGCTCTGGATGCAATATCTTCGCCTGCTCCGAGACACAAAAATTTGGCCACGTGACGTATTTCTGGAACGGCAACCGCAGTGGAAAGTTGGATGAGGAGCACGAGACGTTCTTTGAGATTCCCAGCGATCGTGTACAGTTCAATGAAAAACCCCTCATGAAGAGCAAAGAAATCACCGAGGCGGCAATTGAGGCATTGAAGAGTGGCAAGTACGATGTCGTGCGCATCAATTTCCCCAATGGTGATATGGTGGGACACACGGGTGACCTCGCAGCGACGGTCACCGCTGTTGAGGCAGTGGACGCATCATTACAGCGGCTGAAGGAAGCCGTTGATGCTGTTAACGGCGTTTTCCTCATTACCGCAGATCACGGCAACTCCGACGACATGGCGCAGCGCGACAAGAAGGGGAAGCCAATCCTTGGTAAAGACGGAAAAGTACTTCCGCTCACATCGCATACACTCGCGCCTGTTCCTGTGTTCATTGGTGGTGCCGGGCTGGATGCACGTGTGCAGATGCGCACGGGCCTCCCTAAGGCCGGGCTGGCGAATGTGACAGCGACCTTTCTGAATCTGATGGGATTTACTGCTCCGACGGACTACGAGCCATCACTCATTGAGGTGATCCCGAACTGAGCGAAGGTGCCGATTGAAATCAGAACGAAACGCAAACTTGGACAGATGTTTGTTTTGTTTTGACAATCAAAAGGAATATTCAAAAGGAATATCGCTGTTGGTAGCAATGTTTTGCATGGCAATGTTGTGTGACCCATTTACGCGAAGCTAATAAAAGAAGTTAATAATAATGGATATAAATGTTGGACAAACGGGAAAGGGGAGAAAATGCAAGAACGGAGCAGTGGGGTGGGCGGGAGGCGAGTGTAGGCTAACTGAAAGAAAATTGAGGAAGGAAATGCAAATATAACATATATATATATATATATATATATATGTATAAACGTGCATTCAAAGAGAGTTTTTTGAGAAGAAAAGGCAGCGGCAAGGCGTTGCCAGCAATAAAAAAAAACAGTTGGATGTATGGAAGTCGTTTTTTATGTAATCGAGGAACAATGGTGTCTTTAAATGAACGGGAGGAGGAAATTAACTGTGTGCGTTTGTGTGTGTGCGTGCTGTCTTCAAAAAATGAAGCGGTAACTTAATGAATTTCGTTCCTTGGAGCCCAACATTACCTCCGCGTCGAAAGTGTGGAGAGCGCTGTATTTTTGGGCGGCGTACTTTGTCGCTGGGTGCGTGATCATTTCTTTTGTTTTTGTTTTTGTTGCTTAGTTGCTGCTTACACTATTCTTTTGCCTTCATTATCATTTCTTTGTCTCCTGGTACATATTTATTATTATGGCTTCCTGCGCAATTGGGATTGCGACGAAATGACGGCGTCAGCTCAAACCGGTAGTGGGCTTACATTTGTTTTTCATGGGCTTTTCGTCAAAGAGTCAGGTGGGGGTTGACAAAGTTCCATATAGCAATGCTGTTCGTGATAGGCGGCTGACTTCCCAGAGGAGTGGTTGGCGTTTGCCGAGGAGCACTTACATGTTGGTGCCTACCACTCTTGTCTTTGCGATTGGGGGGTTCTGTTTTACGTGTTGGTGGAACAACAAGCGAGCGAAGGAGGGGCCGTGTGTGGACTGCAAGCGCCAGCAGGAGATAATGGAGGAAATGTACTTTCGCAAGCCAACTGTCCAGAAGGGGTATAGGTTCTAGCGGTGCATGTAAGTAAATCCGCGCGTTTGCCGTTGTGTTGTTGAAAGAGGATATTTTTTCTTATCTTTTTTTTTTGTTGTTGCATTTTTTTTTTTTTTTACGCTGAGCATTTCACGGGGATCGCGCGCTGGGAGGTCAATTGTGCTCCCGACCATATGCTAACATCATCTTTGTTTTTGTCTCTTTTTTTTTTTTTTTTTTTGGATTTGATTTTTTCTCGCTCGGTGTTCAATGAAAACCAAACTCGAAGCTGCGCCGTCCGGCCTGCTGTTGTTTGGGGAGGCTGGATTTTGTTTTTAGACGATGGGTGACTCTCTCATCGCTCAGCTTGAGCAGGACTTCCGCGCTATTGAGCAGTCGGACCCGTCGCTTACGGATGGTTTCAAAATTGTGTACGACCGGGAGGTGCCGTGTGAGTTGCGCCCGATGCGCGGCGGGAATGCTGAGCCTGGGTCACTGGAGGGAATGAAGGTGAAGGTGCTCTCCTTCGGTGATGATCATAGCCTCTCCACTATGCGCGTTGAAATAACGAGTGAATCGGATCTTTTCTTTCACTACACTTGCGTCATTAACCACGCTGGGTTTATTCGTCTGCGTGAGCACCAAAGTCTCGTCTGCGACTTCCCTGATTTTCTCATGACCCTCTTGAAGATGTTCAACCGCTGTATTAAGGAGCCGCAGAGGTTTCTTGTTGTCCTTCTGTTGGACGAGAATGGGACAGCCAACATGGAGTTTATAGAAAATCTCGAGTACAAACTAGTTGGGGTGCTGACACTTCCGTTCCGCGCCTCCCCACCGGAGGTGGTGCGGGAACAGATTGGGTATCGGTACAGTGCCGTGCGCGCGCGACTGGCGTTGCTCACCGCCCAGCTGAAGAACTCCAACCTTGTGCTGAAGCCACGGCAATAGAAAGGAAACACCAGGAACAAGTTCAGTGCATATGTGTGTGTGTGTGTGTGTGTGCATTTGTTCATGTTAACCGGGGAGAGGCAGAGAGAAAGGAAAAAAAAAAAAAAATAGAAGGGAACCAAAAAAAATCAAAATCTGAGGGATGAGCACAATGGAGGGAAAAAAGAAGAAGACGTGCAAGAATAAAGGAAGCACCATTTTGAATATATTTTTGGGCCTTTTTGGTGGTGGTTCGTTGGTTGTCGATGTACCGTGTCTTTAAGAGTGAGATGAAAAATGCTGAGTCGTTTGGGCGGGTGCCGTGGCAGTGACTCCGCTGCTCCGAGTTTTATCTTTTTCATTTTCTTTTTTACTTTTTTTTTTTGTGTGTGTGTGTTCGTGTGTCACCGACGGTTTTATTTGCTATTGGAGGCACTGACGACATGTTTTTCTATATATTTTTTTATTTTGCTTTTAAATATATTTTTCCCAATATGATGTGGAGAAAGTTATAAGTGAAGATGCGACGTGGTGTCATTTCGTACGCAGTGACGGATCACGCGACAAGAGCACTGACCCTCCCTTTGCTGCTCGACACTGTTCGCCGCGACCCGGGCATGACTGCAGCTTACTACGCCAACCGTTATTTTGGAAAGGAGCGTCAGATGGAGGTGACGCGTGTGCTGTGGGGCGAGCTGAAGTTCTACGGGCAGGTGACTATTGATCGCATCGATGGACCGGAGGAACCGCCGCGGTGGTATCCGGTCTTTTCCATACCGCGAAAAATTCACAATATTCGACGACACTGTGCCGAGGAGGAGGATCTCAGTGTTCTTCAGCAAGACACCGCCTTGGCAGCCGGTGGGTCGCCTGTGGCGCAGGAGGCGAGTGCTTCAATGGCAGCATCTGTAGAAAATAGTATTATCGCTCTTGTTCAGAAATCTCCGGGACATGACATTCAGTTTTACATTGGGGAACTTCCTGCAGTGATGCAAGCATACGCACCGATGGCATTCAGGCGACTACGCGAAGCGGGGGTCATAGTTAGAGAGCAGACGCCACAAGGCACATTTGTTTGGAGATGAATTATTTTTGTTTTTGTTTGTTGTAGTTGTTGCTCTTTTGATATGCCTGCCTGTCGTAGTGGACTTAACTCCTTGTGGAAGAGGGGCTTGTTTGCGCGGAACCTTTTTTTTTTTTTTTTTTTGCCCTTCTTCTTCTGCCCGATCAATTTCCAAGGCGTGTAGCACGGGGTAAGATAAATGAACTGGAAAAGCCGGTAGGGTTAAATGTTTGGTTCAGTGCGAAGAGATAAGGGAGAGTTTGGTAGCTGTTCAACTCCGTGTTTTTGCCTTTGTGCACGCCATCCTCCCCATTTGCTGTACGGATTGGCAACGGCATTGTTGCTGTACCTTCTTGTTAGTCCAAATGCCACGGCCAGGGCGAATTTCACTGGGAAAACTGTCCTTTTCTGGTTTTTTGCTGCCCGCACGATTCGCGGCATTTCGCACTTTTTGTGGCAACACTCTGGACGACTGACTTTTTCTTGCGTCTTGAATTGCGCTGCATTGCGGATCTTGGGGGGATCAAAGTGCCGTTTATATGTTTTTTGCAGATGTTGTGCTTCTTCCTTTTTGCATGGCGGCGTCCGCATTTCGCAGCGTGGGCATCTTTGCGCATCTTGCCGTCGTACTTTACTCAGATCGCCAAATACTTTTTTTTTTGGTTGCCTGGGGTCTCTCTTGTGTGAACGAGTGAATTGCTACTCAACATACTCCATTGGTGTGTCCTTTTGCCAATGGAGCGTTTGGATCCGGATCGCTTCATTGGTGGCAGAGCAACCGTCCCACGCATGGTTGTCATCTTTGCCGCGTGGGTCGGAACCCCCAACATTCTTTTTGGTGGGAGCCACGCTTCCCTGCAGTGGAGACGTAATTTTCTTGGTTGCAGAAGCAAATTTTTTCTCCTTCCACTGCTGGTGTATTGGTCTCGGAATCCCGGTGTTTCTGTTATACTTTTTTTCATAGTGAATTGTGCTGGGTTGCGTGAGGAATTGCGGAGACACGGATTTGGACGAGCGCCGTTGTGATGGTCTGAGGCTGAAACTTATGATGTTTCATCGATATGCATACTTCCTTATTGCCGTGTTTGCAGTTGGATGGATTTGTTACGCTACCGCGGGAGCCTTGTCCACTCTCTTGTTGCTGATTGTGATATGAGCCCCTTTTGCCTCTGCTAGGCTGCTGAACGAATTGACACGGGCATCTCTGCTGCAGTGCCTGCTGGGATCCTTCTGTTTCTCACTGACACTCTTTATCTTCCCCATTTACGCTGCTTGGGTATGAGTCTGCGCATCGCTGTTGAGTGGGATGCTGCTGTTTCTCTCTCTCCCTGTATATATATATTTTTTAATCTTCATTTGTTATCTTTTTTCTCTCTTTTTTTTCCAACGGGAAGGGGAAACGATGAGTGTGATGGCACCACTCGTTGACCTTGCGGGGGGAGCTGTGCCGTATGTGAAGGACACCACAGAGCGCGTTCCAACTTCTGCGACCTCGGCGGTGACGAGGTCCTGGTCACATGTTGATTGTGTGACTCTGTTTGCAACGTTTGCCGCCACGTCCTTTGCTTACTCCCTTGTTGGTCACCCCTTGTTTCTTGCGGTATCTCGTCAGCAGTGCAGCACGACACGACTGACAGTGCGGCAGGTTCTTCAGGAGGTATACTTGCAACATGGCTACCGTGGATTATTCCGCGGTGCTGGTGTAGCTGTCTCGGGGACTGTCATCAGTGAGCTCGTCTACTACCTGATTGTGGAGTACGGAAAGGAGCATTTGCCGCTACCGACAAAAGAGCAGCGATGCCTTACAGGGGGTTTTGCAGCAGACCTCATCTCCGGACCCATTTTTAATCCCTTTGCCGTGGTGTCGCAGGTGCAGATGGTGGCTGATTGTCGTGGCGGAGAGCACAAATATAGAAATGCTTTTAGCACGACGAAATGTATTTTGATGGAGCAAGGCTGGCGCACTCTTTTCCGTGGCACACTATTAACCATGGTGGTCTCACCCCTTACTGGGGCGTGGTGGTTTGTGTATGAGCTGCTAAAGCAGAGGGCGTACAAAATCGCCTCGCGCAGCGCACCCTTACTTGGGGCTGTTACTCCTGCTAGAGTTCGGCAAGAACTGCCTGTGACCTGCACTTCCACAACTGATAATCTCATTGTGAACTGTGTTGTGGGGGCCCTGTCAAGCATAATCATTGGTATCTTGATGAACCCACTGTACGTATTACGACTTCGGCTGCAGGTGGCGAAAAACTTGGGGAGTACGCGTTTTCCGGCAATTTGGATGATGCGGAATGTTTTTCGAGAAGAGGGCATCCAGGCGTTTTTTAAGGGACTGCGTGCGAATCTTTTTATGGCAGTCATTGGCGGCTCGGCGTTTGGAATGACGTACGAGGGAGCGAAACAATTCTCAGATATCACTGAAAGTGGTTCTTTCACTCTTAGCACGTTAGAAATTGGATCCCGATAACACATTTCTACCCCACCCACCCAACAGGTAATTAGTTGCGGATGTTACTTGTGGCGACGTGGCCGGTGGGGTGTGGCGGGGCGGTGGGGTGGGGGGCGGACGTTGTGTGAATGCCGTTGGCCCCCCACTACCCCCGGGGTGTTGAACCTCGTGGAGAGGGCACTTTTGGACCCGGAGTTACCTCGAATTTTCATGTGGAGTACCGAGCCCGTGATGGTGACAAATGCCGGCGGACGGCATCACCGGGAGGAGGGGAAAGGCAGGGGGGATTCGGGGTCACAAAATTTTCTGTCGTTACAGTGGGTTCTTTATTTTTTTTTTATTTATTTATTTTGCCCTTTCGGGAAAAATGGATGGACACAAGAAGTCAGGGGGAGTATGCGGGAAGATTGTTGGCAGCAGCAGCAGCAGCATGAACGATTACTTTTATAAGTGAGAAGGAGAAGGAGGTAACGAATACAACAGTGGAAATATATATATATATGTATGTAATTGTATACCACAAACAAAACAGAGCGAACGCTTTAAATGCAACGAAGCGCACGGCTCCATTATTTCATTTGCGTGTGTCACTTGGGAGGAACGTGGGGGAAAAAAGAGAAAGAGAAACGGGTGGAATCAATGCGTGGAGCATCAAATGGAAACAGGAAGGGACGAACGTTGGAAGGATGACACGAGAAACAACTAGCGATTTTTTTTTGTTTCTTTTTCCCGGGCGTTAAATATTTTTTATTGTTGTTGATTTTACTTTCTAATACCATGGATGTTAGTTGTTGTTGGTGCCTTTTGCTGAATATGCCACTCTGCATCACTTTTTCCCTTGGTGTATACATATATATATATATATATATATGTATTTATGTGCTCACGATGCTCTCACTTTATTTAAGTAAGAGGAGGGTGAAGAATAGTGCGTGAATTGCTTCTTCGTTTGTTTGTTTGTTTGTTTTTGTTTTCTTTGTTGTGTGGGGGTATTTTGTTTCAAGCCATTAGTGAGCGTTGGATAGGAAGGGAAAAGGTATGTTTTACCATGGGTCGCACCCAGAACATCCCCTGCGGACGTTGAAGAACCCAAAGGCTGGCGTGTTGTGTTCCATATGTAAAGCATGTGCTCATCCCTCCATGGCGGAATGGTGTTTTTGCATGCAAGCGGGGTGCGGCTATATTCTTTGTTGTAAGTGCTCTGAAATTGAAGAACAGTTATTTGATATTCCGCAGGTTATCACACGGAACCCGGTATTACCGCATGAAGACATGAGTGTTTGTCTGCGCACACGTCCGCGCAGCAATGCCCATGTGTTATGCCCGCTTTACCCCGGTCGTCTGATGATTGCCGTTTCCAGCGCCAAAGGCACCATCGATGCAAACGAAACCTACTATCGGTTAAGGAAGGGTGGATGGGTCAACGCCGCCCATGTTGTGCGTGTACTTCCATCGCAGCAGCTGATCGAAGAGCTTGCCAAAACCCATTTGCGGGCTGAGGAGCATAATTCCCATGAATTTATGGCCTTGGAGGAAATTCTTCTTTGCATTGATGAGAGTTTTCGGCTGATGGATGAGCGCTCTCCGTATGGCACCGTCATGGCATCACTGACTTTTTTTCCGCTGCTGCAATATTCCTCCAGTCTGCACTTGATCTCGTCTGAGGAGCGCACTGTTGTTGTCCGTGCATCGCTGGGGTTTATTCACTACCTCTTTCATTTTGTGCTAGAGGAGGTTAGCCAGTGGATGAATAATGTGGATCATAGAGTAAAGACGACGGCGCTCACACTCTACGTAGAGCTCCTAGGGAAGTCGCTTCTTGTTGCACGTGACGTGGCGGAATCCCAAATTGTGGCACTCCCTTCCGAACTTGGCCCACTGATAACACGGACCGCTGCGGTGGTACTGGAGATCCTGCCAATTGTTGAGTGTGGGACAGCGCCATGTGGAGGAGCCACGGTCTCGCTGCGCGCACCATCCATCGCCACTCGACAGGTGGACTTGGCAGAAGAACAGGCACGGCTCTTTTTTTGTTGCTGCAATATGGTAGAAACGACGGGATGGTTGTTGTTGCATACACCCACGTTTACATACGACCTCAAATGCCTTCGTCCTCTCCGTGTAGCCGTCTCTATCGTTCCCAATTCGGAGAGCCTTGAACGCATGCTTTGTCAAGTTGTCAACAACGCCCTGGAGAAAATGCCCTCGCTACGGAGGCGAGTCCATGACCTGGACGTTATAGAAGTAGCCATTTCGCTTGCCGGGCGGGCGACGTGTGCGGAGAGTCAAATGGCGGTGTTCAGGCTTATCTCTGCCGTTGCTCACAACTCGCCGCGTAACATCTCGCAATCAGCGTCGCTTGTCATTGCCCCATTGATTCAGCTAGCCATGAAGGCCTGGAACACCGTAGTAGCCAATGCGGCATTTGACTGCTTTGCAGAATTAGCCTACAATGACCCACGAGTGGATGGTTTTCGATGTGACTCGCAGAGCAAAGAACTTATGCTTCCAGTGTGTTCTGCAGCACTCCATCCGCAAGAAGCGCCATATCAGATGGCGAATGTCTATGAAGTTGGGGATCACCTGCAGGTCCTATGTGAGTACTGTAGTTACTCTCACCCCCATATTAATGGTGTGCTCGTGCGTGAGCCCCAATTCGCATATTTTGGATGCCAATGCGAATCCTGTGCACACGTGCAAGTGGCGCGCCCACTTCCGCCACCAAACATACCGACGACGCCAGCCATTCAAGAAATGCTGAAGGAAAACATTGCACGAGTCGTGTTATTTTGGCTCAAATGCAGTGAATCGGCCGTAGCCAACGCTGTGGGGCGTCTGTCGCTGAAGATTTCTCTCCCAGTTGAGGTGACGCTCACCCTTTACCGCGCACTGCTCAAGCAAAACCTCGTTGGCTACGCCGATGCCGCGCTTGCCATCGCCGCCCAGTCTCATTTGCCCGCCGTACAAGAGATGCGGCGGGAGTACCCGTGTGCCGCGATATCGCAATACTTGTCCTGCCAACCCGCCTTCAGGGCTGCTGCCTTCAGCAAAGAAACGCCCGGCAAGGGTTCACAGAATGAGGATCCCGACGGACTCTCACCATCGCCTGATGTGACGACGAAAAAGACTGAAATGTTTGCGTCGTTGCCATGTGGTGTTTCGCCGCCGCTCGTTGATCTTTTTACCGGACCGCAGAAAATGTACTTGGATGAAGTCCTATAGAAGTGAGAGTTTTGTGAGGAAGGAAGTGGGCCCGAAGTTTGGAGACGAACGAAAAGAAAAACAACAAAAACGAAAAAAAAAAGAAGTTTGTTGTTTTTGAGTGGTGTCGCTTGTGGAGGAGGCAATAAGTTCGGGATTGCAACTTTGTTCTTGTCGGATTTTCCGAATGCGTATCCTCCCCATTCGCTCAGCCACTTGCACACTTATATACATACATACATACATACATATACATTAGGGAGGTAAAGAAAAGGTGAGGGTGAGGCGCCTGAAGCACATTTCAGGCGATGTGAGGAATCCTCGGTGCCATCTTCTGTTTTTATTTCCCATTTTTTTTTTTTTTGTTGTTGTTGTTCAAGCCCCTTCTTTTTGTTTTTGGTCTTTTTTATCGGCTGCCCATATGTTCTTGTTTTTTGTTTGTTTGTTTTTTGTAGGGAAGGGTTGCTGTTGTTGTTACGTGCGTGTATTTATGAGGGTTGTGTGTTTTTGAGACGTGTCTGGCGTTGCGTGGATTTCTTCACGCCCGACAGTCAATTGTCTTGCCCATAGAAATATTTCTAACCGTTACTTATTTTGAAGTCATTGCTGACAATAGAAGGCAGCGGGCGTATTTCTCAACGATGAGAAACAGAAAGAGAAGAGAAACATTTAAAGGACAAAAAAAAAAAAATCGAGATGTACATAAATCTGCGTACATAGATGTATAAAACATCCTTAACACTACTGTGGTCGCATGCGTATCGCCTCACCTCTTTCTTCTCTCTTTCTCTTTTTTTTTTCTTTTTCTTCTTTCTTTCGCTTCTCATGCGTGAGCACGACCCAATACGGCATGTGTTTGCTCTGTGATAGAAGGGAAGAGCAGGAACAGAAGTGGGAGATCGAGGGTGGAGTTTCCCTAACCCGAGTGAGAGGGGGAACGTGTTTTTTTTCCCCGTTACATAGAGGAGGAAGAGTTCAAATCGGGGAAAGGGAGAAGGATAAAATGGGCTGGGGGTGCTGTAGTGTGTTTTTTCTCGGCGATTTGGCCTCTGGAGAGCAGAACTGACGTGTGTAAAGCACTCGGCTATGAATCTCTTTTGTTTTTTCTTTTTTGTATTTTTTCTTTAGTGGCGGGAGTGTTTATTATTATTTTTTGCAGGGGGGAGGGGAGTTATGTTTGTTGGCCGGTGGTTGTCCCCAGCGCATCTTTTTGCATGTGCCGTTCTCTGCAGTCAAAGGACCCTAACCCTTTTAACAATCTTTATTTTTCTTCCGGTTCTCTTTGAAGTTGTGAATTTTTTTGCTCGCTGGTTTCTTTGTTTCCGCTGCCGCGCCACGGCTCCAACCGCGTGCACGCACACAAACTCACATAACCACGCAGGTGTTCTTTTTTTTCTGTTTTCTTTAATAAGGAAAGAAAGGGAGGGAGGATATTGAGAAATGGTGGCGTTTGCGGATGACGGAAGGGATGAGCGCATTGCTGAGCGACGCATTCGTGTGCGACGGCGATTGAAAGAGTTGTGTGACAGCGAGAGGAGCACGCAGACGGTGGTGGGAGCCGAAAATAATGTCAGTGACGGCAATGGGGCCAGCGGGACGATTGGGCTGGGCGAGGAGTCTGTGCGCCAAGCCCGTTGCGAAATGGCGGAGATAGTCAGCACTGCCCACAGCGCAGTGACCAGCTGGGAAGTTAACGTTGGCAAGAACGAGAATGAGCGCCGCGAGCGTGAAGAGCGTCTTGTAGATGAGCGACGCCAGAAGCGCCGAGAGGAGTTGAAGGCGAATGAAATCAAGCAGGGGGCAATAGAGTTGAGGTTTGAGTCCATCTACAAGTTGAACGCGCCTCATGAACTGAAGAAGTCCCTTGAGGAGCAGGAGCAGCAGTGCAAGGAACTGATCGCCGCAAAGGACCGCCTTATTGAACTGCTGCGCGAGCAGCTGGAAGAGCGCGAGGAGGAGTTTGTGGCGATACTTCAACGCAATGCGGCGGATGTCAACAACCTCGTTGCCGAGATGCGTGGGCAGACGGAGAAGTACCTTGACGCGTACACCAGTCAGCTGCGGGAAGTAGAGGCGACGTACGAGAATGAGCGAAAGGAATATCTCACGCGCTGCAACGAAGAAATCCAGCAGCTCATGAAGTTGCGCCGTACGCGTGAGACGGAGTACCGCAAAAAGCGGGAAGATGAGATTATGGAGGCGCAAAGGAAGATGGACGATAAACACCGCGGAAACTGCGAGGAGTACAATGAAATCAAGCGGGAGCACCTGCAGGAGATCCATGCTCTCATGGAGGAGCTGGAACGATGCAAGGCCGAGTTCCTCCTCAACGGCGAACGACTCAGTTACAACCTGCAGATACTCCGTGAGCGGGTGAAGGAAAACAAGAGTGCTCAGGCACTGCACAAGCGAAAGCTAGGGCGTTTGCAGGACACACTCAGCTACCTTGTGGCGCGCTACGCGGAGTCCGAGAAGAAGTATCAACGCACCAACAAGGATCTCACCGCCCAGCTGCACCGTGTTGCCAACCAGTACCGTGATCTGCAGAAGAAGTTTCAAAAGTTTGAGAGGTCGGACAAGGAAAAGTACCGCCAACTGTGGGATATGCACGAGGAGAAGAACATACAGCTTGTGCACAAGTCTCTTCAGGCGGATCGTGTTCTCTTTGAGGAAATATTGGGGGTGCCGTGGAATCCACCGCAGCTAAAATACTGGCTCGATGATGAAGCGGCGGATGCAGCAGAGGATAATGAGGTGGATGTTTCCAGTAGCGACGATGAGATTGAACTCTCCGAGGAAGCGCTGATGCTCCTTGCAATTCTGCACAAACAAGCCCCATTCATTGCAGACGAAAACGTGTATGCGGCAATACGACAAGTGCAAGATGCCACAGAGGATCGCGCCATGGTGGAGTCTATTCTTGCCACACTGCAGATCCGCAAAAACGAGGAGATGGATGACCTTTTGCAGTATTTCATTGTAGATGGTCCCGAAGAAACAACGGCACTTATTCGTCCGCAAGATGCCGTTCGTGCACTTTCGACGTTTCTCACAGAACAGCAGCGGGAGAAGAAGCAGAAGGAAGAGGGGCAGAAGGAATCGGCAAAGAGGAACAAAGAAATAGCGAAGATGAAGCTGGAGGAGCGTCGGCGTGCTGCTGAAAAGGAGTACTGGTTGCGCATGGCGAGGTCGGTTCCAAAAGAGCACCAGCGTGTGTGGGGAGCACTTGAAAAAGGCCTGAAATTGTACATTGCCCAGCTCCAGCAACGGAAAAATTTGATTGTAGATACCGATTCACTGCGTGCGCAGAATGCGGAGCTGCGTGCATTACTTACGCAGTACCTGCAGAGTGACATGAACTACCAGCTATACATGCCGCCAAAATTGCTGTTGCAGTCCCGCGCCGCCTCATAAAAAAAAAAGTTTTTTTTTCTTTTTGATGAAATTTCTGGTCCTATGTGTCGATGTCTGCGTGTGGCTTACTGTGCGGAGGGGTTGATGAAAGGATGGATGGATGGATGTAAAGAGGTAGCAGGAATAAGCGAATACCTGCAAATAGTCTTTGGCTTGGAATATTATGTACAATCTACATACGTACATACATACATAGAGAGAGAAATTGCGTGTGTGTGTATGTATATGTGTGTCTGAAGGAAAGGAAGAAAAAAGAGAGGTTCGAGAGAACATTGTAGTGGGAGTGCACTGCACCTGCGACAGTGGTCAAAGTTTTTTTGTGGTGGAGTTGGTTCAACTTTTTCGTTTGTTTGTTTGTTTAACTTCTTTTCGAAGATAAAAGCTTGGTGTGGAAAAATACAGTAGCTGACGTGGAGAGGATATTCAAGGCGTCTACACACGAAACAGACATACACACTTTTATCATAGACAAGGCGAAACGCGAACGCAAAAATGCCCGGCGGTGCGCAAGGACACTCAACAATTCTGCAAGGTCTTGGCCCCACGTCGTTCAATTGGCACGGCTCCATTCCCACCAATCAGGCAGATACTCACTTTGAGCCGAATTTTCGCCAATTTGACTTTTTCCTAGACACACAAGCAATGCCGGACGAGTCACTTGCTGAGCGGGTATATAAGGTACCGGAGGGCGAGTCGCATTGGAATCTTCGCACCTTCTGGGGGCAGAACCTCCGCTGCATGCCTGTTGTATTTACGAGTTTAGCCGGCGCAGCCTTTGTCAATTTTTTTTACACTCGCTTTCTAAATCGCACTGGAGCGTCCATTCGGTGGTCGTTTTTGAAATGCTATGTTGCAATTTTTGCGTGGAACAATTTTACAAAGTTTGTTGCGAGGGAGCGGTACTTTCAACGTGATTTTCAAAGGAATCAGCTGTACTCATTTGATGAGATGCGGGACCAGCGTGATCGACAACGTGTGCGCGAGGCACTGTATGAGAAGCAGTTTGTCAAGAATCCCATTGCGGAATATCGTGTGAAGGCCTGGCAGGTAGCGGAGAGGTTTGCCTAGTGGTTTGCTGCTTCACGTTTGCGTGTGACAATACATGTAGAGTGGATGGTGACGACTTTTGTCTCTGTGTGTGTGTGGTGGTGATCGTCTTTGTTGTTTTATTGCGATAGGTGAACTTCAGGGAAATCAAGGGGGGGGAAAGAAGGGACTGTAACGTCTGGGAATATTAGCGGAGGGGTCGGGATGGGGAGGGGGGAAATGCCGTGGCATCCAAATTCAGTAGTTTTTTTAATTGTGCGTTATTTGTATGTGTGTCTGTGTGTGTGTAGGTATGAATCTTTTTCACTCTTGTGGTCTCCGCACTTCTCTGCCTGCTTTTTGTTTGTTTGTTTTTCCTCGTGTGGGTGAAGCCGCAAGGCGCGATGATTGCGACTGAGTGTTACGATTGCCTATGAAGCCCTTTTTGTGCGTGTGTGCATGTCTTCTTTTTTTTTTTTTTTTTTGCTTTTTTGATGCAAGAAATTGGCTTCACAAGGAACAGCCAAGCCACCATGTCAACATCTTCTACTTCCTCATGCGCAAACAAACGGGATGTACTCAATCGCGTCAAGGAGGTCCTTGAGGCGTATGTAAAGTCGGGGGTGATTGACCGAGAGGATTTGAAGAGACTGGCGAAAAAGTCCGCAGAGGCGATTGTTCCACCAGCAGCTGTGGGGGCGGTTGATCGAGCCACATTGCAGCAATTGATGACTTTCCTTGACGAGAGCGGCGCGGAAGAGGCGGTGATTGCTCCCATTCGAGCGGCAGAGGCGGCGATACCTACGAGGGCGGCGGTTGTTAAGGAGGAAGCTGAAAAGAAGGAACATTCAGAGCCGTCCAAGGCATTGGTGGCGGGAGTGGGATTTTCGCTTACCGCATTGCGGGAACGGATGGCGAAGAAAAAGGAGGAACTGCGGAGGCAGCGGGAAGAGGCGACGGTGACGGCGGAACAAATGCCGCGGGGGGATGCGCCCACCATGACGGCCAGCGTTGCGCTGAGTTCGTTGCCTGGAGAAACGTCTCGCAGCAGTCTGGCGGCGGCGGATGAACCACCGACCCGCAAGTGTAAGACGGAGGCAAATACGTCGCTGCCGCTGCCCTCGCTGCAAGAAGTCGATCTTTACGCAGACCTTGAGGGGCCTCCCTGCGGCTGGCGCACGCAACTGCAGCCCATTTCTATGTAACGACGAGACTCGACGTGTACACAGGCACACAAACATAAACCCGTACAATGAGAGGTTCTTGAAGTGAAAGGGTTCACTAATGCTATTTGCTTACCCTGTACAGTATTGGCGAAGTGGTAGCATGTGGGTGTGGATTAATGCAGCCCACACACACACACACACACAGAGAGAGAGAGAGAGAGAGAAACAAACAAATTCCCCCCTTTTCACTTCCCCGACTGCACCCCCACCCCATTTTTCCCCCTTTTTTTTCATGGATGGGGAGGTGGGGGGAGGGGAAATTAGAAAACTGTGTGTAAATGATGTTCCCTGCATTTTTTGTCTGTGGAGTGTAAGCACCATTCTTTAGTATAGCAACAGGAAAGGGAACATCCCCCAAGGCAACTCAATTGTAAGTGTAAATGTGTGGGAAGAGAAGGAATTAAGAAAAGAAAAAAAGAATGAGTAGCCCTTTGCCCATTTTGCTGCTATGCTGGGAAAAAGATGAAAAAGGAAACTTGCTTAGCTGCAAGCATTGTGTTTTTGGCGCAACGACCCGGTGGATTTAAAGCACACACACAATATATATATATATATATATATATATATGAGCAGTGGAGTTTGTTTTAGAGTGTTGCTCTTCAACCGCCTACCCAAAGAGAGTGAGAGGGAGGCATCATCAGCGCGTCTTTACACACGGATTTCCCTTATTGATGGACGGCAGCGGTTTAGAGGCTAAAGAATGGGGCCCCACCTTCACCGTTGGGAGGTAGCAACACCGTAAGGCTCTGACAAGAACAAAAACAAAAAAAGGAATGAATGAATTCTGATGGGAGCCAATGATTTATTTTTTAAGATTCATCGCATTCTTCTTTGAATGACGCCATTTGTGGGCAAGGCAGAGATGATATTGTTTGATTTTTTTATTGTTTTTTTTTTTTTTTTCTAACCCCTTGCCCCACTGCGCACCCTGCCATCAATTCTTCTGCCTTTTACTTTTTTATTATTATTTCTTTGATGCAACTAAATTTGCCGCATTCACCGGAAAAGGATTGGCAAGTACTAGGATTCAATAATGGCGTGGACGTGCTCGGCGTTATCTAATGCTTCAATGATCCAGAATCTGGAAAGGGCGGCGCTTCTGTCCACACCGGCGATCATCGCGTCACTTCAACGAGTGGATCGCGGGTGGTTTGTACCGGACGGTATGCGGAGCTCGGCGTACAGGGACGAGCCGTTATCCCTTGGGCACGGTGCCACTATAAGTGCTCCTCATATGCACGCGATTATGCTTGAACTTCTCTCTCCATTTTTGTTAAGTACTCCTGGGAGCTTGCCCAAGGCAGTTCTGGACATCGGCAGCGGTAGTGGTTATCTCACAGCCATCCTTGCTGACATCTGCGGGGATGGATCACGGGTAGTCGGTGTGGAGCACGTGGTAGAGTTACAGGAACGTTCATTGAAGGTGGTTCTTCAACACTTTCCTAGCTGGGTGAATGAAGGCCGCATTACCTTTATCAATGGTGACGGCAGAGACATATCAAAGTTATTTCATCCGCATACAGCCATGTTTGATGTGATTCATGTCGGTGCGGCTGCCGCATCGGTTCCCAAAGATTACTTGGAAGCAATAAAACCTGGCGGGTGCCTTGTGATTCCTGTTGGAAAGGAAAATGAAGTGCAGCACCTGCATCTTTACACAAAGGACGAGAAGGGAACCATCACCAAAAAAACTCACGGTGGGGTAAGTTTTGTTCCATTGACGTCGCTGAGGCATCAAAAAAACCGCAGTTGAGGATGACCAAAAAAGAAAAAAAAAAAAAGAAAAGATAGGACTTATTCCCCCTCTTTTTCTTTTTTTTTTCTTTTTCTATCCACAGTGTGCTCTTCTTGTTGGCTCACGCATCGTGGCAAATATATCCATTCACAATATTTATATTTATATGTATTGTGCATGTATGCCTCAGTGTGTGTGTATTATTATTATTTATTTTTTTTTTTTTAGTTGAGTAGGGCGTGCTTGTCATGTTGAACTTTTTTTTTCTTTTCATTACGCATTCTCTTGGTGCTGACAATATGTGCATTTTTTGCACTGAAACACGCATGGTAAAATGGGATGCATTCCGTTTTCTTTATTTTATTTATTTATTCATTTATTTATTTATTTTTGATTTTTTCAGTTATTTCACATTTTACAAAAAAAAGGGGACAAATGGACCGTGGCGACTTTGAATTTCCGCCGGATCCCATTGCGGAGGCGTTTGACTCCACTTTGGAGACTTTGAACAACGTCCCTCTTCGCGTGCTCTCGAACGTACCGATTGAGGAGCTGCCACCTACAGTTGTGCCTTCGGATCAGCAGCGGCCCATTCGTGAGATGATGCGGGGCGGCCGGCGGATTTGGCGGTCGAGACTTCACCGGACGAAGGCGGATGTTTCTGGTGAGCCCGCGCCGGGCACCTTTGCAACCTCACCGACCGACGCTGCGGAGGGGGGAGAGCCGACATCTTCGCCGAAGAATAGTTTTGCCGGGCATAAACGGAACCGATTTGACTGGAGTGAAGAAGAACTCAGAGACTTTTACAAATTTCTCTCACAGTACGGCACCGACTTCAACGCCATCGCCGTCATGTACATTGGTCGCTCGCGTAAGGATGTCAAGCGACTGTATCATAGAGAACTGCGCAAACGGAGTGAAGACGTGCGGGCAGCGCTGTCGTCCCGTGAGGAAATTGATCTGGGAGCGTTTAGGGCGCAATTGAAAAAGCGGGAGGAGCTTCAGCAGGTTCCAGTGCGCCAGCTGGAGCAGGAGGAGGAGGAGGCGCTGCGCCTTATAGAGGCGGGAGCACTGCAATTCCAGTCAACATCGAATGACGGAGAGACACCTGCTGGTGGCAGTGGAAATAAAGATTTTGAATTTGATTTTGCTGTCGTCAAAAATATGACGGCAGAAGAGATACAACCAACAAACAATGCAAAACCTGCCGATGGTGTCAAGTGTGACGACAGCGAGGACAACACAAACAAAAATACATCTCCGTTTTCAAAATGCGCCGAGTCAAGCGCTGCGAGAAATACTGAACTCGGCACTCTGATGGACGAGAAATTGATGGACGATCTTATGGAACTTAATAAACCTTTAGAGGACGATTTTTTTTGAGATCACGAAGTTCGGTGCGTTTTTCCGGCGCGTTGAAGTGGGAGGGTCTCACAACGGTTATATGCTGCCGTTCAATACGGCTATATTTATCCTTGTGTGTGTATGTGTGTGTGAACATGACTTACAAGTACGTGTTTAGATTTTACTGTTCTTTTCCTTTTTTTTTTTTTAAGGGATAGGATGCAACTCTGTTATGGTTGCCGGCATGCTTTCCCCGCCTCCTCGCTTGAACCATGTGTCTTCAGCGATATCATTTCTGACCGCTTCGATGAAATACATAAAATTGTCAAGGAGATGAACACAAAAACGCCGGAGGAAAACCACCGAGTCGCAAAGCTGCAGATGGCACTAAGGGAGCTGCACTCGGCCGTTCACCAAGAGATAAGTGCCCTCAAGGAGCAGAAGGCAAAGTTGGAGGCTTCACGTCAGCGGGATCGGCAGGAAATGGACCTGGGCAACCAATCTCGTCTGGCCAATCTGCAGGACACCAATGCCATGTTGAATACACAAACCATGGGAACCAATCTTTCTCGGTCCAACTTTGTCAAATCAACTCCCAGAGCCACATTTAATGGCATGGTTCCAACATATAAACTACGAAAAATGAACTCTGCGCTAGAGTTGGTCTCGGCCATTATATACTCCGTGGTGGAAAGTTTGGCTATTCGTACTCGTGCGGCTGTGGCGATGTTATGGTTGCCGCCTCCTGGGGTTGTTTCCACGGAGCTCGTGGCACCTTTTGTCGTGGGACGTGACATGTCAAAACTCTGGAACTCTGCGCCATACCGCGTATCCGAGAATTCTGTGCCGTGTCTTGTAAGTGAGACTGGAATTGCAGTGAATCTAAAACCATCTCAAGGGATAAGCGACTCCAAATTACCAGAAAATGTCCCCATAATGGAGTTGGTTGAAATGAAAAACACCGCACAACTCATAGTTCCTGTTTACACGCGTTATGGAGCAATTCAGCGCTCTGTGCTCGCTGTGTTGCATCTTATAGGCGATCCAGTTTTCCCGTATCCATTTGGGCTTCGCAATGAAGAAATGGCAGTACAGACAGCTGCCACACTATCTGTCATATTATCCTCCTATTACGAGACAATGGGTGGAGAATGGGCTAATCGTATTTACGATCCGTTGTTACTGGTCAGCAGCTCAGCGTATCATGGTGGCCTTGACATGAGGAGCATGGAAAAATGTATTGACGACTTTGCCCCACCGGCAACGCTCATCTATCGCTGTAAGAATGATAAGAAGGATGATGATGACGCCCGTGAGGTGATAAAAACACTGAGGTATGCCATGATGAAGCGTGCGGTTTCGCGAAAAGCGGTGTGGTCTGTGAAGGACCTGCACCGGTTTGCGACAAATATGGAGCAGAATTGGATTTCTGTGCTGAATACAAACGCCGAGATGGAATTGAAGATGATTGGCTTGGAGGAAAAAGCCTTGCGAGGTGGTCTGGAAAAGGGACAACCTCGACCATTGTCTAGACAGGATATTGCGTCCCACACAATTTCTGACACTTCGGCTGCTGGACGTCCGGTGAGCTCTTCCGCAATTTCAGTATGCGCATTGCCGCCAATGTTTGATAAATCAAAACCTCTGAAGCCGGAACAAGTGACTGAAATTGAAGCAAATGCATTGCAGCGTTTGCAGAAAATGGGGGTTGATACAGCGCCCTTTGTGATGCCTAAAGAGGCGGAAGATGTAGATTGCGTTTGAAGGGCGGGTTCAGGCCCCCATTATTATTGTATATATATATATAGTTATATATAGTTATATTTATAATACATTTGAAATCTTTGTTGTTGCATCAGTCGTTCAGATGAACAGAAGGAAACACACAGAGAGAGAGAGAAATGGATAGGTGGAATTCACAACATTTTTATGCCTTCAACCCCCCATCATTGTTTCCAGTTGTTGTTGTTGTTTATATTTCTTTGGAGACTTTTTTTTATTTATTTTGCAGTTACCTTCGATTACAGAAAGAAGGAAAGGGGAAACCGTAGAGAGAATGAGAAACCGGCCCGAGGTCCGGTCAAAACCAAGAGAATGGTATTATTATGGCGGCAAGCTTCTTAGCATCCTGGCGTTGTCTTGCGTGGTGAAATTCTCTCGCCTGGTTGAGGTGATGCTGCGTTCCCGAAAAATCATTCAGCCTGCCATGTGGGTCTCCTATCTGTGCTATGTGGTGTTTTTTGCCCTGTGGATTTACACCAGCTGCTTCGTGCAACCCCGGCATCCAAATTGGAGCGAAACCCATAAATATTTGATTTACAGCGCAACGTGTGCGGTGACGGCGGGAGGAGTTTTGTGGACAATTGCAGTATGGCCCGTATTCCACATATGGACAATACCGCTTGGAATGGTGGTGCTGGTGCTGTTTCTTGAGGTCGTCGCCATTATCCCGTGGAATTCGCGCAAGATGAAGCACTGATGCCGCCCTCTTGAAGAAGTTGAGAAGCGTTGCGTTGCGAACTCTTCAGTCCTACCGGGAGGAATGAAATTAAAATTTGTGTGTGTGTGTGTGTGTGTGTGTCTTGCTTGATTGGTACTTGCACATTCATGATTTGTATCATCTTTATTCCTTTTTCTTTATATATTTTATTTTTTACGCTTGTGCGTTTTTCGTGGAAGTCCGCTTTTTTAAGTAATGAAGACGCTACAGAGCTCATTGCGTGGTCGCGGTGGGCGCGGTGGGCGCGGTGGACGCGGTGGACGGGGCGGCCGCGGAGATGCACGGTTTGCATCCCGGTACACCGACGCACGCTTTCAAATTTCCCGTCGTGGCCGTGGTGCGTGGGTTGGCAACAGTCCGCGAGACGCCGCGCTGAGAGACCCCCGTTTTTTGAAGCACCTGAAGGAATCGAGAGGAGCCCCGGCAGACTCCGACGAGGACGAGGAAGAAGTGGAGGATTATCAGGATTTAGAGCAAGGCAGTGAGCACGCTTCCGCTGACGAGGGTAACATGCCGTTGACGGAGGTGGATGAGAAGGAGCTTGACGATGAGGTGGCGGCATGGTCCGCATCGGATGTGGAATTTATTGAACCACGCCGTCGCGTAGCGATTGTGAACTGCAGTTGGGATCATATTCGAGCAGTGGATCTTTACGCCATTCTCTTTTACGCGCTTCCACTTGGTGGACAGCTGATCGATGTTGCTGTGTATATGAGCGATTTCGGCAAAAAAATGCTCGAGCACGAACGTGTGCACGGCCCAGATCTATGGGTTAGGAAGGATGAGAAGGAGGGCGCCCGCGAAGCTGGCCTTCACGACCAAAAGGACATCAACGACAGAGAAATGATGTCGAAGCGTATGGAAATTGATGACAATTGTAACGATGACGAGGATGATCCGTGGGAGGACGACAATCCTGCAATGCTTTACGAAGAGGGTGGGGATGGAGAGCTCTTCTCGCAAGGGAAGTATCGTAGGTATGAGCGTGATCGCATGAAGTACTACTATGCCGTTGCTACCTTCGACTCGGCGGAGACAGCAGAAACGGTTTACAAGCAGTTGGATGGTATGGACATTGAGGCAAGTGGTGTCGTACTGGACTTGCGCTACGTTGACGATGAGGAGGTGTTTGAAAACCCTGTCAATAGGGCTGACCGTATTCCGGCGAACTACAGACCTCTCGCCTCGTTCAAGGCCGCGGCGCTCTCGCAGACTCGCTTCCGTATTTCGTGGGATCAGGACGACATCTTCCGTTATCGCTCCATCCGCGACAGCTTCACCGGTAACACGGCGGAGGACGATATTGCGGCGTATATTGCTCCACCCGATTCATCCGACGAGGATGATTTTGTTGATGCCAATGGGAGGGAAAAAAAGGACAGTGTTCGGGAGAAGCTCCGCATTCGAAAGAAGTACGCCGAGTTGCTGGAGGAGATTGGTGGGCTAACCCAGGATGGACAGCACAGCGAAGCCGAAGAGGGGGAGGCAGGGTATGAACCCAGTGATGGCGATAGCGATGACAACTCGTTAAATCGCTTCAGCGATATCGACTTGGACGAGGAAGAGGAGGGAGAGGCAAACATGTCCGGTGAGGAGGGAGTTATGGGCGACATGGAGGCCACCCTCGACCTCGACGCGGGGACGAAAGCAGCACGCCTACAGCGCGAAGCCGAGATCAAGCAGATGATGAATTCTGCCGATTTGGGTAGTCAAGCCGAGCTCAAGTACAGGCTGCGGCGGAAAGAGATGCGGAAGGCAAAAAAAGAGATGTTGGCCCAGGAACGAGAGAATGAATTGGCGCGACGGCAAGAAGAACGCGAGAAGAAGCGGCAAATTTTGCGTGAGACACTTGGTACCGACGACGCGGGTGCCACGCACATGAGTGGACGGGAAAAAAGGAAGTCTCATGCCAAGTTGGTGAAGCAGCGTGTAGCTGCTGAGCGGGAGGCGAAGAAAAAGATGCGAGCGTCTAACTTGCTTGGCGTCAGCCGGGAAGTGCGGGAGGCGCAGCGCCGGGAGGCCGTAACTGACACAATTGACCCGCGCTTTCGGAACAAACTGCTTACAGACACGCGCTTTCATCTGGACGTCGCGCAAAAGGACAAACGAACGAAATCTGAACTTGTGGATCTTGCCGCTGCTGTTGCCACGGCAAGACGAGAAAAACGTCAGGAGTTGCAGAAGGACGCGAAAGCTGAGAGTGCCGTGGAGTACTTCTTGAATCGTCCAGCCAAAAAGACAAGGAAAGAGCGAGGATCATAAGCCATTCATGCCTCTTTTGTCTCCCTCCCATAAAACGATTAACTCGGGGATTATTAATACTATTGGCAGTTACTGTCATATACATAAATACATACATACATACGTATACATATATATATATGACTGTGTGTGCAGACGTAAAATTTTTTGCTAAGGAAATTGATGGCATCAATATGATTGACCTAGTTTGATTTTTTGCATCTGTATTTTTTATTATTTTTTGCACGAATTTTGTGTAGTACAATGGCTGAAGAAGAAGAAGAGGGCAGCTATACAGAAGCACAAGTAGCGTCCCTTGTCGCCTCTCAAAACTTGGGGAAATGGGAATTATTTGTCAAGTCGGCACTGAAGGAAGTGGCACCAAGCGAGGCCTCACGAGCAGCGATTGCATACGCTCTGCGGAATTTGTATGAGGCGGCGCGCGTTAATCTTATATTTGCCGTTCAGGCTGGAAAATTGCTACTGGCAGCTGGTACGCATCGCAGTGCAGTTTGGGGCGCAGCGCTTTTTGATGTTCGTGGGGCCGTGGCGGATTGGTGCGTGCAAGCGGGTGATGAAGAGCAGGCGCAGGAACTCTGGCGTCTCATGCTTCCTGTCGATGATGACTTGGTGTCGCTGAAGCTCCTGACGAATCTTTTAAACAGTGCCCTTCGTACCCGTAACTTTGCCACGGCCGAGACGGATTGCCTGCGGGGACTGGCCTCATACAAGGCCTTGTCGATGCGAACTGAGGCAAACGATGTGGTGAACGCGTTCCTGTGCGCCTTTGCTTCCCTTCTAGCGGCAAGGCACAGATTTTTGGAGTCGTCGCAGCGCTTCTATGAATTGTATGTGCGGACCAAAAGTCTGGACCACCTTCGTGGGGCCATCGTCTGCGCTATTCAGGCGGATGCGAGTGCCACCCGCTCGAGTCTGCTAGGAGCCTTTTTCAAGGATGAGAGCGCAATGCTTCTCGGGGAACTTTACGACGTTCTTAACCGGGCCCATCACTTTCATGTCTTGCGCCCCAGCGACCTTCAGCGGTTCCTGCCGTATGTCGAGCCTTTCTCCGACACAGCCGCCGTTGAACGCGCTTTTATTCAGCACAACCTGCAGGCCATTTCTCGAGTCTACTACAACATTGGCTTTGAGGAACTTGGGGCCCTCCTTGGCATCACTCCCTCTGAAACAGAGCAACTTGTGGCGCGAATGGCATCGGAACGGCGGTTAGATGCAATTCTCGATCAGACAACAGAGACGGTCATTTTCTCTCGGCCAGAGAATACATCGGTGCTGGAAGCGTGGGACGCGCGAATCACCGCCGTGTGCGAAGAATTGTCTCATGCAGCGGACCTTGTTCTCAGTCGCCATGCCGAGCTTAGCGAGTACCTTTCGCTCAAGTAAAAATGGGAGAAAGAGATAGGGTGGAGGAATAATGAATGAAACCAGTGGAGAAACAGTCTGCAGATGCGAATGAATGAATGAAGCCGTTTGTCATTTAATTGACAAACAGTTTGAATCATATATATATATTTGTATGTTTCTGGAGTGGTGGTGGTGGTAGCGAGAAGCCGATCACCCTTTTTTTTTCTTTGCTTGAATCCTTCAATGCGTGTTTGCATTTTGCAGTGTATATGCTCTCGTTTTTCCGGCTATTAGTGTTATGTAGTTTGGTCATGTCTCTATGGACCGGCAAGGATGCCACTCACACTCGCAGCATATGCGTTGCCCTGGGGATTGTGCTAGGATTCTGCATCTTTTCTTACACATCGGTGTGGAATAAACGCCGTAAACGGGCAGGGCACGTTGCCGAATCTTCGGAGCAAAGTGTGACTCCCAAAGGGCGGGGGACGTCAGGCCACACAACGTATGGGCCCCCGCAGTGCGCCAATGAGTTACAGTCGCAGACCCTGTCGGGAGGGAACACACAAAGGGAGAGGCAATCACTTTGGCGAACATCTTCTGCGAGGGAAGAATACAAAAAAACACCGACATCGCAGACTGAGACTACGCCCTTGTTCCTTTCCACTGTAAAACATAGTGGTGGGTGCTCGGCGAATGTCGGTAGCACCATCTTCTTGGAGAAACCGTCAAGTACTCTTGGTTTTGATTCAGAAGTGGTGGTGGGTCATTTTGCAATGTGTATGGCAGGCTGTTTCACTCAAGAATCCGTCATGTACCGGTTCCCCATCGAAATAAAGCGCTACGTTCACGTAGATGGATCCATAATTACCCTTGTTGCGGAGGATCTTGGTAACGTGGAGGTCAGCATGACCACAGAATCCTACAAGACACGGTGTATTGAGCGGGCTCGGGAGGAGGCGGTGCAACAGCAGACGTACTTTAAAGTGCAGCACGACACGTTGGCGAGCGATATTGTCACGACGGTCATGGAACAATATGCTTGTATATACATTGGGCCTTCCCCTATGGTGACTTTAAGCTTCTTTCTCGTACAGAACCACATAGCCTACGTCTTTCAGCTTCAGTCTCACGCCAATGACTACGGACTCCACCTAACGGACTTTCTTTACACCATACAAAGTGTTCGAATAGAGAAATACCCTCGGGTGGTTTCAGGGAAAGTGCGCCACGCCCTAATTTCAAATCTTGGAGGAGAAGCCTACCTCGTCGACCTCCCGCCGCAGTTTATTGTGACGTGCACCAAAGTCACGGATTTCCTTTCACTTCACTATCGACACGCAAACGCGTGGTCGGGTGAGGTGCTCACGTGGGCTCCGAAGAAGAAGAATGCGAGCAACCAAGGCAATGGCAATCACAGCAGTAATGCTAATCATGACGTCAACAACGTGATCACTCTCATCCCTGGTAAGCTCTTTATCGTCTCACATTGGCAATCCAATAGTGAAGTCAGTGCGACTGTCATGGATGAAGTCAAAGGGCTCCTTGAAGCGGTGAGTGCTTTTTTGACGAAAATTGTTGGTAAACAACTCCCATCCAGTTTGTATGTTTCCAGCGATCTGGAAATGCCTTTGCCACCTATCCAGTGTTTCACCACCAACGTTTGCACTCATACCGCCGACCCCTTCATCACCATGTTCGTGCTGACCAAAGACGCGGGGATTTTTGAGCTTGAGGTGGGCGCACTCGAGGTGTCTGGAATAACCGAGTTGACACATCGTTTGAACTGCAATTTCTCAAAATCCCTTCGTTTGCATCATGGAGAAACTGCTTCTGGGAAAAGGAAACTGACATTTTCTGGTGAATCCGAAAAGAACATGATGTTTCGTCTTGATGCTGTGCATTCTTCATATGACGATCTTTGGTTTACGATCAAATGCCTTCATGTTAGCGGAACCAAGTTGCCAGGCGATTTGCTGCAGTATTTGGAATCCGCTCTCGATGCGCTCTCATTCCCTCCCAATTCGCGTAGTTTTTTTCCAATTGTGCTCGCCAACTGAAAGACGTCGGTGAACAAGAACGGACTTCACTTCAAATTTTCATCCACTTGTCTGCATATTTTCTTTTACCTTTCTTTTTTTTTTTTTTTTTTTTTGGTGTGACTTTTC